TATCTCCAAGAGCTGCCTTGAACCAGTCAGCGGTGGACATTCCACTTTCGCATGGCAGAGGCAAACCTATTCACTGGATGATCACTGATGACGTCCAACAAAGCGGTACTCACTTCAAAGACCCGAAAGGGACGATGGACTCAGTGAACCACTGACCGGGATTGAACTCGCAACCTTCCGATTGTGAGTCAATCACTCTCACCACAGAGCCGGCTGACCACAACGCGCCACAAGAAAACGAAATCCTGCTGAATTTTAATCGGTGGTAAAATATGCCAAGGTGAGTCACTGCCCCATACACGGCTAGAAGCAGTGGGTAAATTTGGCCGCGTCACTGTTTAACAGGACTGTGGTGGTTCATGCCTCTAAACAAATACTCTGAATGCAAGAGTTGGTGGATCACACGCACATTTGTATAATTCTCAAACCCAATCCACTATGACAGCAGTATAGCAACCACGTTCACGAACCAATCTTTGAGGATCTCCTCAGTTTATGCGCAAGGAAGAACGGCTGTTGTCCAAAACCTCATCTACATTTTTTCCCTTTTACAGCAGTGCTACTGATAAATGTGTTGAGTTTTTTTTATTTGTAGTGCTGGCTAGATCATGGCTGATGAATTTGGAATTGGCCAAATATCCCAATGCTGAACAAAACCAAAAATATATGTATTTCTTAAAATGTTAATTTCATGAAGGCTTTTCTGGATAAATAGTAAGAATTATCTGAAATGATCCTCCAGCATTAATGTTACATGTTAACAACATACATTTTATGTAATATTATTTAAAACTTTCCTCTTTAGGCACAACAGTATATCGCTTTTTGCTATAAAGTTTTTCATCAGTGTATGTTTCCTGCAATGGCAGATAGCTTGAAATGGATGAAGATAAAAGAACAGAAGCTGAAAGTACACAGATTAGCGTGAAGATATACATGCTTGGAATCACACTGAGACAGAAAGAGGAACTCATGGATCAAGAGAAAAACTTGACTGCTCAGAAGGAGTGTGTGGCCTCGGGCAGGTCATGCCGCCACAAGGGGTGATGGCTGATGGACAAGACTAATGAGGGAGTGGCAGCTGAAAGAGGGAGCACACCCGACTGAGATGGAGCGATGAGATTGGTTAGTGTACGGGAGTTAGATGGAATGTTGCATCCTGGGAAGATAAATGATGGCTACAGCTCTTCATCCACCAGTGGCTAGATTATGGCTACTGTTGATGCAATTTTGATTCCAGGAATCTCTTATTTCTGCAATTTCTCATATAAAAGCCGAATAGGTTTCATTATAGATTTTACAAGGAAGAAATAGATTACAAAATCACACACAGATAAGCAATAGCAGGGACAGTTGTTTTTACAATTTAGTTCCAAGTAGAAATTTATATTTGGGATTTTGGTAACGACATAAGCCCACAATGATAATGTCTTGCAAATTATATCGCACAGTCTTTATCGACAAGTGTGTGGCCGAACAGAGGGCTTGCCATCACAATTCCAATTCTCCAGAGGAATAGACATGTCCAATACAGGATGCCCACATACATAAACCGACAAAACTCAATATTGTGAAAACCAACTTAAGAGTTATTACCATTGGCAGACAGGGCATGACAGTAATTTCTACAGCCTTCATGATATCCTTATCATTGTCCAGCTTCCCATATTCGCCAATAATGTATAATTTCAAAATGACAAGGCCCTTTAATAATATAACAAGGATTATTGCACGTGTATTCATTGAAACATGTAAAAACTAATTTAGATGGTTTTAAAAGGAAACAAAATTGTGGAATCAGGAGTTGAGAAATACCTATATTACACACAGCTCGTCCTAAACGATCTTAATCCCGGGGTTTAAGGCCTATTGTGACAAATGGCACCTATAGCTCGCACAGGTATTATTCTAATATCAACCATTTATTTTTAAACAAATCCATACCTTTCAACCTGTCTATATTGAGCAAAGGCTTATTATATACGGAGTCAAAATCACTAACACAATTTGGATTTGTCGAGCCCTGAAATGCAATCACATCTGAATGATTACCATGGGAATTGGTTGTAAAATATGAAGGTATCGACGTGTTCTACAGTAGTCGTCTTCACTAGCCGATGCAGCCGTGGCAAATACTGCCAGTAATGCTGTGCGCCCAAAACAGATGACTCCGTCTCTCGAGTCAACCAACTGCCTGTCACAATCTGTGACAGCAGTCACTGTGATGGACTCCGCTAATGGCTGGTTGACACAAGAAGGTATCCTGTTGGGACTGAGTGGACAGCAGGCGTTGCCCACACCTATCGTAATATCCTTTGAGTGTGCTCTCTCCAGAACACACGTTTGTCACGGACCACGTGTTTGTCTTTGTGTGGTAGTATCTTGATTTGTTCTGGCCGACTCAGCCTTAAAGTACTACCTGGCGCAGTGTGATGATAGCATCAGCACTGGGAAAACCAAGATGGCCAGGCATGGTGCTAGCCACACCACCGACTTGTGCACAGTGCCGGCTTTGCAAGTGCAGCAATTGTCTCAACAGCCGATGTAGCTACATGCGGGGTTCTTTGCCTTTGTGCCTACATGTGCATGCATCTGTGTGCTTTTATCCGAGTGTCAGGGGAATGATGGGTAGCGGTTATCACACTGCCGATAACCTTGTTTCATTTCGGGGCCAAAATGTACGACACCACTAATTCTTAACCTCTGAACCGATCCCGTGCCTTCCACAAATTGACTCAACCGAACATCAGTAAGTGAACACCAGAAATGGCTAAAGGTGTCCAGGCATGAACGCTGGCTCCATGACTTTGTGTACAATTCCAGTCTTTCCAGTACATAACCCTTGTTTCTTGTATATTGCTGAATATACAATTATAGGAATTTGTTTTTACAATACAGTACATTACTTTATTAAATGTACATGTAATGGCACTGCTGATACGTGGCCAGCTAATATGCAACAATTCTATAGCTGTCCAAATACAATTGTCAATGTACCTCTAACCTTGATATTTTTGTCGTGTTTTTTTTCTTGCAAGCAAGCCCAAGAGCGGCAGACAACGTACGTCTTGCAAAATATCAGAACCCATAACTTCCTCGTGTACTGCACTGCAAATTGACCTTTTGCGTTCGGCGTTTAAAAGATAAGAGGCAATGCTAGATGTGGCATACAACAGTAACAGTCATGTGGGGGAAGATTTATAACTGGCTATGGCGGGAAGCTGTAATAAACACACACATGTTGCGGGAGAGCACGTACAATTGATATTACTGTGAAATAACACTTTAAACTAGTAGTGGCATGTGACACCTGGGTGAGACACAAAGGGGAAAAAGCGAAAAAACAAGACAATGAAAAGGTGCCAAATATTGGTAATTAAAGTATATTTTGAGCACATTTACTGCACACAATATACTTCGTGATAGGAGCTAAGGCATAATGGTCAAACCGTGATCTGGGGGTCAGGTTAAGGTCAAAATGTTAAGTAAGCTTACTCCTGTTACCAATTTGGTTTCTCTATTTTTACAGGAAGCTGCAGTGCTACAGCTTAGGTCCAATTCAACATTGTAATTGCCAAGATCTCTCGGCTCCTTTTTTCGGACAGAAAGGCAAGTGGAATACTCTTTGGGTCTTTCGGTAAAGTCACGTAGATAGAAACATAATAGATCACGACGTTTCGATCGCAACACAGGCAATCGTCTTCAGGTGAGTTTTTCTCTCAGTTAATTTAGTGCAAGGGAGTTGCGCCTTGTATGAGAAAGAAGACGGCTGAAATAAGAGAACAGTTCAAATTATAACCTCTACTCAATATCATATGTTCCTGCATATGAAATATCAAATATAAAGGCAAAACATAACATAGAATTTTTTTTAAAATATTATCAAAATACGACCATCCTTTTAGTGTGGTTGGTTTGAAATGTATTTATGAAAACTAAATTTGTTTAAATATATATTAAACTCAATAAGCACTAATACGTCAAATAACGCTCTCAATGTCTATACAGTTAATGATAATTACGATGACACTGCCATTCCCACGAACGAGATTGTACGACGCAAATGGCAAATAATTGTCCTGATGCCAACGGCAGAGCCACAGCACCATACTCACGAAACTGTAAACATAAACCAGGCTGACATTGCCCGGCCCCAACTCCAGGAGGAACCTGACTTGGGTCTGTGAACGCCATTGTCATCTCAACAAACAAGAGGAATACAAAACAAATACAACTCTACCGACTTATACTGGGGGCCCACAATAGAGAAGGGGCTCCTCTCGAACCGCAGTGCGAAACGCAAGACGGGACGAGTGGCGGTAGCTGCCGGGTGTGTAGGCGGTGAAACTGCACCGGGGCTGAGAATGGTCCAGTTGCCAGGCGACTTAAAGAAGTGAAATTGAACAGGGGGTGAAGTGTGGGTCACCCATGCCAACCACACGAATACACCGCTGCTTATGACGCCGGGAACATTTCACCGGCAGCACATTCACACACGGGTCTATCCAAATGCACTGATCACCATAGAACACAATGTAACAAAAATCCGACGATGTTGATGGGGCCACGTTGGAAGAAAACACCTTCACCAGCTAACCACACTGCAGTGACAACGTAATAACACTACGACGAGCTGCAATGCTGGGCCCCCCTTGTAGATAAAAAATAAACCTTCAAGGCATTCTTTCACCCTGTCTCCTAGCTGATGTGTGCCTTTAATGACTCTAGAGATCCAACCTGCAGAGGGCCTTCTTGCTCTCACCATTGCACTGCTACCTCAATATTCGGCCCCACCAAACAGCGGCCAATCACCTGGTCTCCCATCTGCTGCGTGTGACCACGGCCACACCAAACCCAGCTGATGTTGCCGGAGACCGACCTGCAATTGGACATGACCCCCCCCCCCCACACACACCATTGCAGTCATCTCAATAACTCAGTAAAAACCCTAACGATGTTGTTGTTGCTGGGGGGAGGGTGGGTGAAGGTTGAGGGCCCACCTTGGAGAGGACTTCAACCTGGTCTCCCCGCCGCAAGGTGAGCTCATCATCGGCGCTCGCCTCGTAGTCGAAGACCGCGGTCCACAGGAAGGGGTTGGTGCCACCACGGGGTCTCACGGAGCCCTCGGCCCGGCTCGGGGACTCGGCCTGGATCCCCGCGGGCCCCGCCGCGTCGTCCTCCTCCTCCTGCATGGGGGGCGCCCAGGAGGCCTCGCCACCCGGCCCGGCCGCGGCATCAAAGGAAGAGGGGACGAGATGGAGGAGGGGACGAGATGGAGGAGGGTGGAGAAATGGGGATGGGGGGGGGGGATGGAGGAGAGAGGTGCGGGTAGAGAGAGGCAATGTGCGCTGGTGGAGGAACCAGTGGCTGGCTGGCTGGGGGGTGAGGTGGTGTGGACCGAGGAGGAAGTACGGAGGAGGGTCTGAAGTGGATTGGGACGCGATATCTCCTTTGAAGATTCTTGTTGTTGTTCGTCTATGACGGGGAGCAAATAAGAAGGTTGTGGAACGTTGCTGATCTGAGATGTTGGAGAGACAATCGGTGATGTGGCGAGGGTTGGAGTCTCTGGCGCTTGGGGGCTGCTGATGTTAGCGGCGACTCGGGGACACGCGGAAACTCGCGAGGACGACAATTAACGGGGAAGGGTGACGGACTTCAAAGTGATGAGAGAAGAGTTGCCCAAAGACGTCCAGAGGACGACGGTGATGACGGCGGTGATGACTAAAGGGTTATGAGGAATCCCCAGTCCATAGATCGCAGCCGGCGTACATGGCCCCGTGGCAAACACCGCCTCCACCTCCTCCTTCAACCTCCCCTTGCAGCCCAGAACCTTGCCGTAGGTCCAAGCAGTAGGAGGCGACGATGTGGAGGACGATGGAAAAGATGATGACGACGATGATGATAAGAGGGGATATGGAGGAGATGACAACAGCAGCGGCGGTGATTGAGAGAATGAAGAGACAACGGTCGGGTTGATTCGAGGCGGAGATGATGCCAATGGAGGTGATGCGAGGTGATGACAGAGATGAGGATGCCGTGATGGTGTTACTGATAAGACGATGCTAACGACGACGGTGGCGTTTTATTCTTTCACGTCCACAGCCACAAGCAGTAAGGCAACCACACACGACTTGTAAAGACTGCGGGCTCGATCGACTCTTGTGTTGCCGCTGCCTCTCTTGCTGCTGCTGGTTGCTGCTGCTGCTGCCGCCTGGGTCCTCTTCGTCGTCGTTCTCCTCTGTAGTCGCAGCCGCGCTTTCTCCGGGGCCCGCGGCTCTCAACTCCGCCTCGCATCGGCCGCCTCACGCACCCCCACACACCGCCGCGATGCCGCCATTACGCGCGTACTCTGACCCACGTGACCCCGGGACCCGCAAGCCCCGCCCCCTCGCCCTTTAAGCCCCGCCCCTATCTCGCGCCTCCCCAATCAAGCCACGCCCCTTAGCATAACAAGCCCCGCCCTCTCCACCGCTAAGCCCCGCCCACACCCCCCCAAGCCAATCTCTGCATCTCGCGCAACGTTAACCCCGCCCCTCATTAGCCCCGCCCTCTCCACAGCTAAGCCCCGCCCACACCCCCCAAGCCAATCTCTGCATCTCGCGCAACGTTAACCCCGCCCCTCATTAGCCCCGCCCCTCGTTTACTAAGCCCCGCCCCTAGAGGCGAAATCCCACCCCCATCTGTTCTCAGCTAAGCACCGCCCCCAAGTCTATAGCCCCGGCTCATTGGACGCAGCGACCCCGTTTACTCTGCAAGCCCCGCCCCCCAACTATCGAAGCCCCGCCTTCCCATCACTGTGCCCCGCCCCCCTTGTCACTCACTTTGCCCAGAGCTCTGACGTTCACGCGCCGTGAGGTCAATGGGCCGCAACGCAGCGGTCGGTGGTCGGCAGTGGAAATTTGAACCCGACTGCGTAACCCCAAAACGAACCAACAACAAAGTGTAGCGGCAGGTAGTCAATACATATATTTATATACATACAGTATACACACCTTCGCAAGTGTACGGCCGTTCACGCTGTGGATCTCCCAAACATACGCGTTCTGAACCAGACGATAAAATAAGATTTTTTCCGTCACCCGTGCCGTCTGCTCCCACTTATGCTCAAGCTCAGTTGGTATGACCCCCCTCTAGTGAGGGTGGTAGTGGTATGACTCCCCTCTCGTGGGGGTGGTAGTGGTATGACCCCCCTCGAGTGGCGGGTGGTAGTGGTATGGTCCGGATCGAGCACAGGGCGATGGCATTTACTTGGCATATTTGTTATTATGTTTGATTATATTTGTTTACACAAAATTATAACATTTAATAAAGTGATTTAATATAGCCTCAATTATTGACAACTCATTTAATAATTTTCAAGAATTACAAATAGTGCGTTTGAAAATGTAGATTTCAAATATATTTAAAGAAATGTATTTTCTCCAATCACTGGCTATGAAGGGCTATTGCCGAAAAACGTCGCCCAAATATACATTTGTATATTTTTCAGACCCACAGCATTAATGTCAGATGTGTTGAATGTTGTTGTTGAATTGTTCCTGTGCACCATTTCACCTTCGCGGAATAGCTTCTCCAAATTGTTGAATCTCTCTCTCCGCCTTCCCACTCAAGCCTCGCCTCACCATTTAGAATTGAAGCTCGTCTCCGTATACCGCACGTGAATACGCGAGTTAATAATATAACATAATATCAAGAATCATACACAGTCCTATATTAATACACTGCTGCACTGAGGTCATTTCCATGGTTTTGTTGGTCGTGGGGGCTCTTGTTGACCATACTTCACCACGCAGCTCAGAGCGGTTTGGCAATGAGGAAATAACTGAGAATAACGACTAAAACATCTTATTCATAAAACTCAACACATTCGTCAATAAACAGTGACCCTTAATTCTAGATTTGAAGCTTTCGTGACTGCAAGGATTCATACTCTTAGGTTTTTTCGGTAAAGTCACGTAGGTAAAAAATAATAAAATAATAATACAAATTTTAAATAAATCAATTAAATCACTATTTAAATTGATTGATTTTCATTTATTATATATTTTTTATTTTTTACCTACGTGACTTTACCAAAAAAACCTAAGAGTAGAGTGGCCCTTAAAGGGAAAGTGTGACGTTTTAGGCAATGGTCCTGAACAAAACTGATTTCGAGGTGCTGTGAAGAAGGACCATTGCCTAAAACGTCGCCTGGTATATATTGTTTTCCTTTAAGGCCGCACTGGAATTGACAAATGTGTTAAATGTTAATTTCGCTTGTGCACCACTGCCTACACAGCAACTATAACAGCAGCATCGCCACGACACGTGTTTAATGCCGTAATAACAGGGGCTTTCACTCGGGACTCAGATGATAATAATAGTTGGGCGTGTGGGAGGAAACCCGAGTAATTGAACTTGAATCAGAAACTTGGAGATTGACGTAGAAAAAAGTTGAACAAAAGCTGAAATCTGGGATTACAGAGACACGAGACTGGTTAGGCAGGCAGCTTAATTGCTAGCATGAGCCCGAGAGAAGTAATTCCGAACATTTTGCCGGTCGTGTGCCCACCCCCCCTACCAGACCTATACACTGTCCGCATTTCCCTACAAGCGTACACGATACCGAAAATAAGCCAATTGTTATATACGGTATTAACATCCATCATGCCTATCAGAACCCGCAATATTTAGACACAATTAGCTAAGCCAAAGCACGATTGAAAATGTTAATATTAAACTGAAAGGACCTCTAAAGCGAGCATTAAATATTGTAATACAGTAACACATTCCTGCGGAAGGAGCTGGTAGGAACGTTGGGTTGCTCGGTAAATGGCCAGGGTCAACGGCGGCGTGGTGTATTCCGCAAATATGCCCGACTGTGAGGGCGGGCACAAGCCGGCGTGAGTACGTTAAACGTTGAGTTTTATAAGGGCACCACGGGGTGACCAGCCCCTCCCCACCCAGCCCACCCCTCCCACCCCCCACCCAGCCCCACCCTCCCCACCCAGCCCCTCCCCACCCTCGCCTCCCCACCCAGCCCCTCCCCACCCTCTCCATCCAGCCCCACCCCTCCCATTTTTGGATGCACGATGGACGGACGGACACAATAATCCCCTGTGGGCTGGTGGAACCAGGTGGTTCCTACCAGTATGACTGATATCTCAACACGGTTGCCCACAGCTGAGAGTGGGCAACTCTGCCAAGCTGCCCTCAGCCTGCTTGCGTTACAGCCAACGGTAGGGGGGAGTGAAACGACATCTGGACGAAATTCTGTCCCTCCGAAATAAAAGTCCCTTTCAATAAATGCCCCTAACTGCCATTGGGGAAGATGCATTAAAAAGATGTCAGCAATGAGCATGATGCCTCATCTATTGACCTCCATCACATGTAAAATGTCACATTGATGTGTGGCATTGCAGTGCGTTTTCGTGTGACCAGACTTGAATAATGACCTCTGTTATGCTCAAGTCATGTTATGTCTACCCAACTACATGCGTCATGTTTTCTGATCCACGTGTTCCTCTTCATTATCTCTAATTGCACTTTCAAGTACGCACCACTCCCATACTCATGTGGGGACTTTTCAGATTTTCTTCCATTCTCTTTGTTAATGTCCACGTGTCTAATGGTTCTGATCGATGTTATAGCAGGCACTGTATGTAACCCGATTAAAGGCTTATGAAAACTAAGAATAAGTTTGCCTATGTCTGGCAATAAAACAGATGTTAAGATGTTCAAGCACCAAATAGAAACCTTTTGCAAGGAATCAAGTCTGCATGAACCACTTATGGTGAACATGCTCTGATAATATATGATGCATTCTCTTTGAAACTGATTGGCCTACCGCAGAGACAGCCTTATATATGGCCTCGTCTCACCAGTGATGCACCAGAGAACGCCTCAAGGGTGGAGAGTACAAATACAAGATCCTACAGATATGAAGGCGTTCTTGTTTAGATGCGTTGCTTTTGACAATTAAGTTTAGCCTTCCGAGGTATCAACAGTAAACGTCATGAATCATCAATGTTGTGCCAATGAAGTACACAATGTTTAAGTTTTTATTTAAAACTTTTTTTGACACTCCGTGTAGGACACAGACCTTTACTCACGAGGACGGCATCGCTCATTCAGAATAAAATTAAAACACAAACAGTAAGAGGCGTTAACACGTCACACAGCCCATCCGAATTTGAATAAACAATATTTAAATATGATACAAATCTACAGAAGGGAAAACTCAGCAAGTATAAAAAAATAATTTATGTACAAAAACATTTATTTTATAATTTGATTCAGTGGCTTGGGCACCACGCTCAGTCATTGGCAAACAAATATGTAACAATAACTTGATTTACATTTAACTCGCCTAAGAACACTTGAACACACACCTCAGTATTCACTGCATCGACACACGCGCACACTCACAGCCAGGGGTTTATGCGAGGCGTGACATTTGATTGAGGGAGACAGTGGCCACCTTGCTATAAACAACATCTCGTCTTGGTGTACGTAGTCGCGTGGCAGGTCTCCCAAAGATGAGCAACGAGAGTTCAAATCCCAGCCAGGGTTGTACCTCAGCCCCATCATCACACTATTTTATTTGAAAAAGAGAGGCACCATTTGGTGGGAAGTCAACCATGGTTGAGGCCAAGTGCAGACTTAGACCCGCCACAGGAATTTGACATTTCCATCAGTGGCGCACAACTTGGTCGAGCTCAGTTGAGCATGAGGACACTCCCTGACTTTGATCGACCACCTGGAAATGTCTTCCCAAGTTGGACTCACACTTTGCCACATGATCATGTTCTATACAATTAACATTGTGCCAGGTATTACGGCGAGTCTGACCTCATTAGCACTGATAATGATGCCTACTTCATTGAGGGCGATATTGGCGCATAAAATAAAGATTGATTGATCAGCGTTCCACTATGTATAACTGGTCGTCAGGGGCTGCAGATTTCCCAGGAGACCATAGTAATAATACACGTGAAGCAGGATAGTGTGGCTTGCAGGCAATTTAAAAAAAATGCTACGATTGCTTTAAAAATAGCCAAGCTTAACACAAATCCTCGAAACATTCTGCGTCAATGATATTGACACCCATGGATGTGAGTGTGCATGTTTATACAGTAAATGAAAATATTTTTGGTCATATTACTACGATAGATAAACACACAATTGCTACATACTGCTAAAAACTTCAAACGCACCGCATTTGTAATAAAAACAAAATTCGTTGGTTAACACAGGTAGCAGGAACTCTACATTTATTGCATTGCAAATGCAAACTGTCTCCTCACTATCTGGAAAAGACCTTGACCAATTCATGCTGTATCTTTACATTGCTGGTGCTGGGTTTTTTTTCAATTGTATAAATTGTAACAATAAAAACATATCTTGGAATGCTTAGCAAAATATCGCCTGAGGGTACATAAAAATAACATAACATTTACGTATTTAAAATTATTCTAATTTTCAACTTATGGATTCAATCTATGAGCAAGGTTGCATGCATTTATCCACACGTACGTAAGATAGTACCTCTGGTCTTCATTTGAGGCACATATAACAAAGCACCTCCCCACTGTGTGTATTTGTTGAACTTCTTTCGCACCATACGTAGCCAACCGTGATAATCGGGGATGCACTCATGCCCGTCCATAAAATTCTCATGACTTCCTGGATTTTATTCTGACGTCCTGCATTTTGCCCTGAAAATACTTGGCATAGTTTCAAATGAAACGTTGTATTTAATCACAACATTTGCATTGTGAGGATTTCTATTCAACTCACCAGTGACCTGAAACAATTATATAAGTGGAGTGCTAAACGTTCGTACACCACGTGACAATTTCATTCGTTTGGCTGTGTCAGGTGGTGGAAGGTCTTGTGACAGAAATTTGGTAATAATCAAATATGAACCCATGGAATGACTACTTTCGTGAACTCCATCTACCCTTATCCACGAGTGGTTTCCTCCAATGTAACCTCTTAATCAAATGGATCCTTCCCCCCTCCCCATGGAAGCTCATATGCCATGGTGACACGTCCCAGCATGTCCACTTAAATGAACCACTGACAAAGGCTCAGCAGTCAGCATTCATCCAATGAATCTTTTGACAAGTTTTTCTGGGTTTAGCGGGCAAAGTTTGAAGTGAGTTGTGCAACTTGTGTTGTTCATTAAATCGCCCACTAAATGTCGGTAACGCAACTACAGTAGATTGTCTTTCACAAAAAAGGTTTGAATGCAAAACAATGCCAGCTGCTTTAAAAAAATAAAAACCCCGTAAAGTTAATTCGTAAAAAAAAAACAATAAGTGCTTTACACCGTACACAAAATCACAGCAGGTGCAATCTGCCAAAATGTAAATAATCATCATTAAATATAAAAACGAAAGCGTAGGTATTTGTGGACAGAAACGAGGATGGAGAGAGCTCCCCGCAGTCAGTAGTTGCAGAGAGACAAAGCTAGAAGATAGAAAACCCAGTGCAATAAACTGGGCCACTTCAGCTCACAATAAAACTAGAGGTGTCATGCCTGCCAAAAGTTGGAACGGATCATGTTAAAATCTGGTTCAATAGGAGAGGGACGTCCAAACGTGTCCATGAAATAATATAAATAGTGAATTTAAATGTTTACATTTTATTCTTTGTTAAGTGATTCAATGTCTCATGGTCATTTTATTTTAACCCGGGCCCTGTGTTGAAAATACAACTTGTGGCATCAATCGGCTCCAGCCTGGTCATAACTGGATTACACCTATTACAGTTGTCATAACGCACACAAGTAAAATCCACAATGCGAGCGTATAAAAAACAACGCCGAGCTTCAGTATCTGCGTGGCTTTATTTTAAAGTCGCTATAGGGACTTTTTGACCTCCCAAATGTCCCTTTAATAGAGGTAGTTTTTTTTCAAAAGGTCACTGAAAAATTGCCGTTCTTCAGGTATGTCGAAGAGTGTTAAGCTACAGGTCTCAAGCGGATGAGACATTAACAGTTTATTCAGCCGTTTGGCAGATCAGACGCTGTGCTCACCTATTGGGGCCACTCGGCATGCAGTTGTGCTTTAATTTCACGCCACTTCTGACAGATGAAGGACGGAGTAGGGTCGGTTACTGAGCCAGGCATTGGAGTGGTCGTCTCCACGAGTCCAGTGACTAAGGGGGGAAGACCTAACAGCAGATGGTGGGAGACTATATGGGCAGGTCTCCGAGGTTGTATGACTACTGTGCAGCAGCATCAGCAGCTGCGGGAATCTGGCCAAGGATTTGAAAGCAATGGTAATGTGTGGTGGCTTACCAACGGCTTAGCCAATGATGACGTCTTGGTCTGGGAGTTGATGATGATGATCTCAAAAAGTCTCCCGGCTGAAACGAGCAACGGGGCTGGCACTCGTATTTGTCTGCGGCCCTGAGCCAATGGTGGAAATTCCACATTCACATAGCAGGGGGGCCCAGCATCCCCTTAAGACAAGCACCGGTGACTTCTCACATCGCGGCTCTCGTGTTATCGGCACCGGAGGGATGACAGGCTGATGGGATATGATAAGAATAACTTATCGACTGCTGGAAGCAAAGAGGAATGACAGTGATGGTTGGTAAACATTTATACGCGTGGACGTTTGAGCACTGCAGGCATGACACCTCTAGGAGTGTTTTGAAAACGGCACGCAACCCGAGTAGGGTTCAAGGCAGCGCAAACGGCGGCAGAGCGAACGCCTTTGCGCGTCTCCCTGCGTCCTTACCCATAAATCCCCTGAGCTCTAACTCTTTAAGTCACCTTCGCGGGTGTTCGCAATTCGGGACCAACTGCGACGTAGCGGCAGCGTGTGGTCCTCTGACGGAGCGGTGAAAACTAAAGCTGGAATGTAATTCACGTGCGTGTGCGCGTGCGTGTGCACGGGCGTGCGTATGTGCGCGCGTGCGGCAAGGGGCCGTCCATAAATGACGTCACGCGATTTTGGGATAATTTTTTACCCCAATCGTCACACGGCGTCACAAAAAGTCAGCCCCCCTCAAATATGACGTCACAAAGCTCTGCCCCCCCCCAAAAAAAACATGCTTCAAATCGCTTTAAACTATTGTCATTGTAGTGTGTATTTAATGTGGCGCTGCACTCTGATGTTGTAGGAGAAAACATTTATTAAAAAGTCTATTTAATTAAGTAGAACGTGTTGTCTATATTTATTTAAAGTTACGCATTTTTGATGTGACGTCACATTTCTCAACCCCCCGCCCTCGTCACACATCATCACAAATGTCTGACCCCCCCCCAGGTGCGTGACGTCATTTATGGACGGCCCCCAATGTGTGTCTGAAAGCAGCCGCCATCTCCACTGGTTTGACTCGGCCTAAAGTGGCGACCTGCAGTGGTGTATCATCATCACGAGCACAGGGAAGACAAAGGCGGTCAATTGTGAACAGTACTGGCCACACTGTCACGTGATGACTGTCCTGACAGTCTCAAAGGGAGATCCTCACTCTTGTGCAAGAGTGCGTGCATAAGTCTTTGTGAGTGGGTGTGTATATGTACGTGAATCTTGGTGTGGCGAGCGGAAGTGTAGTGGTGAGTGCGCTACAAACCCAGCGACAGCCAAGACCGGTGACGATTATCTGAACCGGTCCTGGGCCTCCCCTAGGTCGACTCAGCCTCAAATGAGTACCTGGTGCGGTGTGTAAACATCGCCACTCGGGAGACGAAGGCAAGCCGGGCGTGATGCTGGCCACCCACCCCCTCGTGTGCCATGTCAGCCTTCATAGGAGCGACACGCTAACAGCACATGCCCCAAAAGTTTGTCAAGGCTATATGGGAGATCTTTGTCTTTGTGCATCTTGGTATGTATTCCACAAGGTGCTGGTGCCACCCCAGGACTAACAGCCGAGCAGCCTGGCCAGGCGGCTGATGCACGCCGCTTGCTCTTTGGCTGCCAGGCTGATGACGTGAGCCGGGAGAGCAGGGGCGCCCAAGTCCACCTGAACACACACGCACGCACACAAAGACAAAGACCCCCATAATAGTCATGCAGACTGATGGGGCAAGAGCTGTTGGGGAACACCTACTCATTAGCAGGACGGTGCGCGATGGAGGTGGTGTGGCCGGCACTGCTCCTAGCTGTCTTTGTCTTCCCCATGCTGGTATTTATACATTGTGCCCTGGTACTCATTGAAGGGCGACCTAGGCGAGGCTCAGCAATGGTTCAGATAATCGCCACTGATGTAAGGGGCCGTCCATAAATGACGTCACGCGATTTGGGCCGATTTTTTACCCCCGCCCCCCCTCGTCACACGGCGTCACAAAAAGTCAGACCCCCCTCAAATATGACGTCACAAAGCTCTGCCCCCCCCGCCCCCCCCAAAAGCATATTTCCATTTTGAAAATAAAACATGCTTCAAATCACTTTAAACTATTGTCGTGCGTATTTGCACTCTGATGTTGTAGGAGAAACACGTATTAAAAAGGAGGCGTTGGAAAGCTGAAATTTTGCATAAAATTCACTTGAAAATATTCAACGTCTAACTAAAACTGCAGATGTTCAGAATATTATATTGAAATGATCTTATAATTATAAAATATAAAAAGTAATTATAACTATAAAAAATACTTGAAACTTTGTAGTAGAACGAAGCAAAATGGAGAGTACAATTATAACAATCACATATTCATTCCACAGAATGAAAAGCCCTGGTAGAATCATTAAAATAAAAATGTTTCATAACAATCATTAGAAAATTGTACAAAATGTATGCTTCTCCATTCTCCCATGGAGAAGCAAAATGCTCCTTAATGAAATAAATAAATTTAAATAATCAAATAGAAAATTTATCAAAATTAGTGTTGTTATAACAATTTTATTGTTTATATTTATTTAAAGTTGCGCATTTTGATGTGACGTCACATTTCTCAAATCTCCCCCTCCCCCCCACATCACACATCGTCACAAATGTCTGACCCCCCTCCCCCCCTAGGTGTGTGACGTCATTTATGGACGGCCCCTAAGTCGTGGCTGGGAACCGGACTCGGGTTGCCGGACTTGTGGAACAACGAGATTGAACAAAGGCAGAATCCTCAGATCATGGCACCTGTCATACATGAGGCTATTGGAGTCACCGACAGATCTATAAGCTCCCTGACAGCCTGGAGGGTCACTGTGTCAAACACAATGTCGGCAAACATAACCCAGGCTTGTCGTCTCGTGAGATACCTGTGTGAGGGTGATGATCCTCGTGAGCTCCTGGCCCTGCCTGCTGCACGGCTGAACGAAGCACGCACTGGGAAGCAGCTCAGCCCGTACCATCTCACGCGCCGGGAGGGGGAACGCCTCGTTGTACACGGACTGCGCCACCTTCGCGTAGCCGCTCTCCTGCACCGCAGGGCATCGCGTGAAGGGCGCGCGCACGGAAGCCAAACACAGAGGGCGAGTTTTGATTTAAAGCTTTCGTGCCTGCAGGGATTCATATTCTTGGTTCTTTCGGTAAAGTCACGTAGAAGGGAAATCATAAAATAATACTAATATAGAACAATATAAATTCTCCCGACGTTTCGACTGCAACACAAGCAATCATCATCAGGTGTGAAATCCACAACATTTTTCAAATTTTCTTGCAGTCGAAACGTCGTGAGAATTTTTATTGTTTTATATTTGTATTTTATTATTTCCCTTCTACGTAACTTTACGGAAAGAACCAAGAATACAGAGGGTGAGGTTACAGATCCGTGCGTATTACGATTATTGACAATAAGAATTCTCGCAACCAATTTTAGCTCGTGTGTAGATGACGGCGTTTCACTTGAAACTGCGCCAAGCAACTTCAGGACAGCACCTAGGAAGTTGGAGTCAATGTGTCAGCTGACCCAGCTTCTAAAGTGGGTGTCACGACATTCCAGGAACAATGACAATTTTAAAGCCAGCCAATAGTGATTTTGAAACGCAGTATATATCGGTATATATCAGTAATTAAATGCACAAACTTAATGTATTGTTCCTTTACCTCTTTGAAATCAGCTGCCAGGCAACAGAAATCACGCGGCTGCTTCAAGTAGCAGGCGGATGAATCGTGAACAACGTGAACTGAAAACAAAGTAAAAACAAAACAACGAGGCATACTCAAACAACACACAGCACAGACACCCACTTTTAAATGTCCAAATAACCAAGAGGATACTCCTAAGCATTGTTAACTTTCGATGCAGTAAATGTTGCGTCTCTGCGACCGTAAACCAGGTAATAAAATACTGCGTGTCGAGCTGTAACAAAATAAAACCGTGCCTTTCGCCTCATTATCCTAAATCACTCGGAAGCAGATTCTGATGGATCAAGAATGGCCCAGTTCTAGGCTAGGATCAGCAACAGGGCGTGTATGTATGTAAGTTGAACTTCTTTCGCACCGTACGTAGCCAACCATGCTAACCAGAGGTGCAGCCTGGGTCCATGTGCCCACGCTACGCAAGCCGTGAGCCTCTTAAGCTAAGCCCAGGCACTCTGTACGCTCCTGACAACTCCTTCATCTATTCTATCCTTGCCAATGATGGCAATACGTTCAGGAGCTGGATGCCAACGTCGAGGTCTGCTCGTCATGACGAGAGGGCTTCAGGAAAGAGTTGGTATAGTTTGCTGTTCTTTCTCCATTGACGGAGCACAGGCTACAGTGGTTTACGATACGGTCCAGAGTTTGGATTGCGTTGCCGTGATCGCACTCCTGTGGCTTGTGTCTTTAATTTTCCATTCACGAAGGAGATGGGCGCATCGGGTCTGTCGATGCTTTTACGCAGTTGACGGCACATCAGTGTCTCATGCGGGAGTAATTTTCAAAGCCAGGAGGTGCAGTGTTTGGGTCTCGAATAAGGCGTTTATTCTGGACGTCTGCGTCGCTCCACTCCGTTCGCCAGCGTTCTTCCGGACCTGAGTGGGATTCTAGGATGGTGGTGGGGGGGGGTGATCAGCACTCGAGGCAACGGCGAGGTGCACCGTTGAGTTCTTGTTTCATGGGGAGGTTATCATTGGCAAGAATTTGTGTAAACTCCCCCCCTACCCTCCACAGTTCAAGGCGTAGGTCAAGAAGCGATATTAAAATAAAGTTTGATTATTATTACATTATACATATATATAAAAAAAACACGAATCTGGTTCCCCTTACCGAGCTGGGAACCGTCACCCAGGTCCCGGCAGACCGTGACGCGCGTCGCTCCCCCGTCGTACAAACTGCGCCGTCCCGGGTCGCGCACCACCTCCCACACGGCGTCGGCCGGCCGTGGCACCACGGCGGCCACCAGGAAGCCCCAACGCGTCGCCGAGGCCAGTGGCTTCACGAACACGAGGACGCCCGACTCCACGCTCGCCCGCCTGTGGCAAACGTCACGTGCATCATCATCATCGTCGTCACCTTCATCATCTTCATCAGTCCCGTGGGGATTCGTGAAGTTGCCAGTGATTCCTCGCCACAGTCATTATTTATATTATTTGGTTGCTATAAATGTCCACGTGATGATAAGCCACTTCGTTGAGCTGACGTTTGTGGCCAGGTTGCTTCTGAAAAAGAAGCTAAAAGCTCAGTGGGCTTTAGCTGGTAAAACAAAAATGTTTGTTTTTTGCTTTTCATTGATTTGTTTACGCTTCTTATACTTTGCACTGCTATAGTGTTTTTGCATTACTTGTTATAATATTCTGACCTGCCCCTACTGGACATCTGTGAAAAAGAGCTGTATAGGTCATCAGATTCCTCCAGTATAAATAACGACTGGTAGAGGCACTGAGTCCGCGTTGCGATGTACGGTTCTGCTCTGTCGTAGATTCTTGAATGAAATCGCTGCCTCGCGTTGCTTGGAAGTGCATTGTAAAAGGTGCTTGATAAATAAAAGTCAAGATGACGATGATGATCGATGATGATCATGAATTCCTGCATCATGCCAAAATTTCGACACAATACAAAAAAGCTAAATTTAAATATTGAAAAATGTTCGTCGCCATAGTAGCACGAAGTGGACTCGAGGCAATTGCACAAGACACCATGAGCATATGCTAATTTCTATTATGAAGATGCATAATAGGGGACGTTTCAGACAATTGCCCTTTTTCATCGGACATAAATGAGTCTTCTTTACGCTGAAGGGCCATTGCCAAAAATGTGACCTATTTAATATAGATATTAAAATTTTAAAGCAGCGTTATTGACGAATATGTTGAGTTTTTTTGTTAATTGTGCTTGTGCACCACTGTCAACGCAAAAGCAACAGCATCACCAAATAATTGTTTAATTCCACACTGTGGCAGTAGATTTACCGTTCTAAATTTATAAGAAGAGAATGCGTGTCGTCAACATCACCAGGTAATTTATTATGAAGATGGGGAGGACGGTGGAGGTCAAAAAACGGGACTCGCATCACCAGCCAGCAATTACAAACTTCAGATGCCTCCGAGGTCACAACAACCCCCGCACCGCCGATTTGCACGGCTGGCTAATCGGAGGTGCGGGGGAAGGACACCAAACTAAACACAAAAAGCAGTTATATAAAAGTTCATAGCTCGAATGGCTTAATAATATCGGAAGAGCGTTCCAGACGGCCGCAGAAGTGCATCTGAAAGTGCACGATGCGGTGACCGTCTTTGTATGATGGCTTGCCAAAAGTCGCTCTGAGAATGACCGGAGGATGACCGTAGTTACGTATGTACGTTGAACTTCTTTCGCACCGTACGTAGCCAACCGTGCTCATGGGAGGTGCTCCTTGACGAGATCAGCAAGGTCTTCCGGTTCTATCGGACCTCTTTTGTCAGTTTCAAAGTATGAAAAATAAGAATAGGTTTTACCCTTTCTGGCAATACAACAGGTGCTAAGATGTTCAAACACCAAATGGACACCTTTTTCAAGGAACCAAGTCTGCATTAACCAGACGTACTGGTGGTGAACATGCAAACAAACATGCTCTGATAATTATAAAAAAATGCATTGTCTTTGAAACTGATTGAAACTGAAAGGTGTCTATTTGGTGTTTGAACATCTTAACCACCTGATTTAAAGCTTTCGTGACTGCAGGGATTCATATTCTTGGTTCTTTCGGTAAAGTCACGTAGAAGGGAAATAATAAAATATAATCAATATAAAACAATAAAAATTCTCACGACGTTTCGACTGCAACACAAGCAATCATCATCAGGTGTGAAATCCACCCCTTCTACGTGGCTTTACCGAAAGAACCAAGAATATCTTAACCACCTGTTGTATTTCCAGAAAGGGTACAATCTATTATTATTGTTTCATGTCTTGTGGTCCATTTGTGGCAAGCACTTTGTGTGTGAAGTGGCCCACGCAGCCCTCTGCAGTGCGATTCCAGTGGCGAGCACAAGTACGAGTGCGTGGGACTTACTGCCATCCTGCAGAGGCGACTCCCTCCAAGAGGCAGTCCACATCTCCGGCTGAAGCCGCCAGAACCTGCGCAAAAGACATAGATCCCCCGTATCGCCTTAACAGACTGTTTGGGACAAGTGCTGTTCGGAATAAAGACAAATATCGCCCGTTATAGCCTTAACAGGCTGTTGGACCAAGTGCTTTTACATCATAACCTTAACTCTACTCACCTTCCCGTGGAGTTTCTATGGGTACAAAAGTTGGTAATAAGCACAGAAATTAAATAATGCACTTCAGCGCATTACATAACACATTACACGGTGCACCTAAGCATGCACCGCTATATTTCACAAGTCACATAGACATGCAGTGCATCATTACATTACACAGTGTACATTGGCGTGCAGTGCTAGATTTCACAATTCACACGGGTATGCATCATTACATTACTTAGCGCGCGTTGGCGTGCAACGCTACATTTCACAAATCACACGGGCAGTCAGGAGAGGGCTGACCTCCGCCCTGGTGGTGCTCAGGACGCCGCGAGCGATCGCTTGGTATTCGGCAACGTCCGTGGGCGGCGGCGGCGATGTCGGCAGCGCCAGCCGCTCGTAGCTCCGTCGCCATGGCGATGGGGAACTCTGCGGGTTCATAGTTCAGAGGTCAAGATTAGGCATGCAACAATTCAGGCACCCCCCCCCCCACCCACCACCAGCAATTAAATTAATTGTCAATTCGATGCGAAGAATCAGCCGGGGTTTTGTCATCTTGTTATTTTTTCGGTCGAATTTTATATAGTTCACTGCATAAGCCCACATTTCACGTGAGCATACCCATTTAGAACGGGAGGGGGGGGGGGACAACCAAACGCATAAAACACAGAAAGGCGCCCGAGTCAAGAATCGAACACAGGCTCTTCTAGCCGTGAGGCGAACGCGTCAGCGACTGCCCTGCCACCCGGCCGCCCAAAGGCATCACACCAATGTGCGGTCTGAGCGAGTCTCCACCTACAACTAAACGAAACTACTGTTATTTTACCAGGCAAGGCCCACTGAGCTATGTAGCTCTTTTTCAGAAGTGACATGGCCACAAATGATAGCTCAACAAAGTGGCTCATCACGTGGCAATCTAAAGCAGCAGCCAAATACTGGAAACACGTGATGTTGATTTGAAATGTGGAGGGAAAAAACAGGAGGACCCGGTGAAATATCCACACGACCACGGGGAGAACACGCAAACACCAAATATACAGGCGTCCGGATCTGGATTCAACCCACAACCTCCTGTATACCAGGCGAGGTAGTTAACATCCCGCCACCGGCTCCACGCTCCGCCAACCCCCCTCGCCTGCACCACGGCGCCGATCGCCAAGGACGGCCCGAGCCGCGGCGCCACTCACCGCCACGCCGAGGCCACGGTGCTGCAGTGGGGGACTGCGGCTGCTGTAGCCGGACGTGGGCAGCGAGGCGAGGCTGCGGCTGCAGCTGGTGCACAGGCTGGCGGTGCTGGCGCTGACGTCGGCGCCGCCGGCGAGCGCCGCGCGGTGGTGATCCTGCGAGAACGGCGACGATCGGTGCCGGATCGGTCGGGCCGAGCGAGCACATTTTTTGTAAACAATTGCTGAGCTTTTTTCCCCCAAGTTCCGAGTTTATTTTGTTCGGCCAGGCAAGGACTCAGTGGTCCAGGATAGAGTCTCATTTGCAAGAGTGAGTGAGTGAGTGAGCAAGTGGGTGAGTGAGCAAGTGGGTGAGCAAGTGGGTGAGTGAGTGAGTGAGCAAGTGGGTGAGTGGGTAAGTGAGCAAGTGGGTGAGTGGATGAGTGAGAAAGTGGGTGAGTGGGTGAGTGAGCAAGTGGGTGAGTGGGTGAGCAAGTGGGTGAGTGAGTGAGTGGGCAAGTGAATGAGTGGGTGAGTGAGCAAGCTCAAGTTTCAAGTTTATTTTGTTTAACCAAGCGAGAACTCAAGGGTCCAGGATAGAGTCTCGTTTGCGAGAGTGACCGGGAGGTATTAAGGCTGCCGCAGGGGGTGTGCGGTGATATTTGGAGTTTAGAGTATTTGGCTGCAATAAATTTACTCGCGATAAGCCACTACGTTGAGCTATCATTTGTGGCCAGGTCACTTCTGAAAAAGAGCTACATAGCCCAGTGGGCCTTGCCTGGTAAAATATTGTTAAAATGTAAATAGTTTAGTTAGTTTATGTATAATGCCAATTGAGTAATTTGCACCATCACACCGGCACACAATGGCCTACTCTTGCGAATGACGTCACGGGAACTTTAACGTCCATCGTGAAGCGCACACCGCATATTATTTCGGTTAATAGAACCGTGGTATTCACCAGGGCGGCCGGCTGGATTCTAAACGTGAAACTTCTGCAACGGGCGGTGATGTCACTGGCGTAGTAATATATTATAATTGTGATACAGGGTGTCACGTCATAGGGACAACAAAATGGATTGGAACGCTTGCGGTGAGCAGTGCCTGTTAAACCCTTTGTCTCATTCACATCGTATCTCGGTTGTATTATGCGTGCAAGTTTGACAACCGGTGAAAAAACAATTCCCACCTAAATAATTCAATACGTGTATCATGGGCATCAGAAGTGATTTTAACCGCCGACTCTGAGCACTGTTGCACACCTATCATTTCTGTCCGGTCGCCCACATGACCGATCGCCCACTCACCCGCCCACCCACCCGATCGATCGCCCACTCACCCGCTCGCCCACCTGACCGATCACCCAATTGCCCATCCGACCACTCGCCCAGGACGCCCGCTAACTCGCTCACCCGCTCGCCCGGTCGGCCGCTCGCCCATTCGAGCGCGCGCCCCACCCACCCACCCCTCACCGTGGCGGAGGGCGTGGAGGCGCGGTGGTGGCTCAGCAGCCGGCGGCGTTCCTGCAGGGCGCGTTCGCGGAGGCGGTGGCGTGCGCGCTCGATCTGGGCACAGGCCTCGTCGCGCGCGCGCTGGTAGCCCCGCAGCAGCTGCTCCACCTCGGCCGTGCCACGCGACGATCGGCGCCAGCCTCGCCCGCCGGCCACGCCGCTGCACCACGCCGGACCGCGCAGCAAAAGCGGAGCGCGGAGAGGATTACGCACCAGAACGAGCGAGCGGGCAATCGCAGGACAACGACAACAGACACAGATGCCTCATACAAGCCCACATCGTGGACAGTCAATATCAAAACTGCCCCACAGTTTGCTTGCATTGAACCAATGCTGCTGATAATGTGCACTCCCGGAAGGCCATACAGCCAAAGGGTCGTATAAAAAAAAAACACTTTTTTTTACTTGGGCAGACAACTATTTAATTCACTGTACAGACCTGTGCTGTTAGCGAGCACCTATTGCAGCCAGCGTACGATCACGTGGCAGGAAATACATTCCCCTTGTAGCCTAAACTGACTGTTGGGGCCGGTGCTACAAGCGAAGGCCTCTTCAGACAAAGATGGGTTGAAAAACAAATGAAGAGATGGGGAGGAAGAGGGGCGGGCTGGGAAGAAGCGCGGCAAAGACGAGAAGGCAGCTACAGAGCGCCACTTCTGGCATAAAAGTCATTGCCGGGCAATAGGCAGCGAATTTAAACTAGAACTATTTAGTTTTATCAGGTAAAGCCCACTGAGCTATACAGCTCTTTCTCAAAAGTGGGCTGGCCACAAATGATAGCCCAATGAAGTAACGCGTGATGTTAAGTCTAAATGTGGAGGGAAAAACCGGAGGATCCGTAAAAAATCCACGCGACCACGGGGAGAGAGACACCGCAAACTCCAAATATACAGCAGGCGTCACGGTCGGGATCAAACTCATGACCTCCTGTATACCAGCCAAGGCAAATAACATCTCGCCACTGCGGCGCCCTAGTGAAGAGAGCATCCTCTACCAGGCTGAGCTGTAGGCATCGGCTTCAAGGCGTGGCACCATCTCGTCGTCGCCGGTGCCGCCACCGCTTGCGCCGCCCAACCCGGGGATCGGCGACGGCATCCTCGTGGGCGGGCTCCAGCGTTGGGCGCGATCGGCGTCAGAGCCGCGACCGCCGGACGGGGTCTCCGCCGTGACGGGCCGAGGCAGCGCCAGCGGCGGGCTCGGCTTGCGGGGGCTCAGGCTCCGCGAGCGGCGGAAACGGCGGAGGCGCTCCTCACGCTCCCAGCGCAGCCCCTCGATGACGCTCGCATGCCTGCGGTGGAGGAGGGGGGGGAGGGGGGTCACGAGCGACCGCCATTATTTTACCACGCTACGTTAATCGTCGTCGTCATCGTCGTCATCACCAGCAGCAGCGGCGGTGGCAGCAGCCACCGAAGGGTCGGCTGTTGGACGAAGACCTCCCCAACTGAGATGTCGCCATCCGTCAGGCTGCCACGATGCCGCACGTCCGTCTCGCTCCGGCGCACGGGCCGATCTTGCCACTACATCTCCGCGTTCCCCTCCTCTGGCTGACCATTCCATTCCGTGACATGAGTCTCGCCCCCATCGGCCATCGACTCCTCCAGCGATGGGTCCTGCCCGGGCAAGTTTACGTTTCTTGACAGTCAATAACGATCCACCCAGATCATGCGCATGAGCTAATCTCGTTGCCCCGTTTCCGCAGTCGAGGTAAACTGTATTATTAAGAGTAAATGCATGTAATATAATATTATTGATTTGCCCATAAAACCCACGGTCGGTCCCGAGACTTTTGCTCTACATTGGCATGTGTGGCCATTTCCATGAATGCGTATTTGGCTTTTGCGAGATATCCAGAGCACCTGGAGAAAACCCACGCACACGAGGCAATAATAGTCATAACTCCGACGGATAGATCCATTGCTATACCGCAATCTCTAAGCCACCTCCCGAGCCAGTAATGCCTATAGGCCACAATGAGACCACGGCGCTCGGATAGCGGCCCAGTCTGAGAGGGCTTTGCCGCCTCAGCCGGCAGAGACGGGACACCAAGGGTCCATTTGGTACGAGGTTATGCCTCCAGGTTTGAGGCAGCGCTTTGATGAACTTGCTCAGTTTTCTATAGAGTTAGTCCTAGATAGCAACAAGACTTTATACAAAAATGTCGTTCACATTACGCCATCCTGAAAGTCACCATGCCCACTTGTTACAGACAGATAGACAAACATGCAGTCGTCAGGCTGGCAGAGGTAACGCATTACAGTATTCCCACCTTATTTACAAACTTGCAATCCGCTATTTCGGCTATCCGCGAATTGCATCTGGAATTCTACACGACTGCATCGAGAGAGAGAGAGGCAGAGAAAGAAAGGGATGAGAGATAAAGTAATGAGATGAAGAGATGAGATAGATACAGAGAAAGAACTTCTCGAAGCTTTAGAAACATTATCCGCGAAATTTGCAATTCACGAGCATCTCCGGAACTATTCCTCGCAAATACTGCAACACATTTTACCTTGGCTGGAAAGCGTAAAACATCACGGGCAAAAGCTAAACTATAAAACTCAACTATTTTTATTTTAACCAGGTGAGGCCCACTGAGCTAATACCACTCTTATTCAAAATCGCCCTGGCCACAAATCATAGCTCAACGAAAGTGGCTTATCATCCCGTGGGAATGAATATCAGCAAAAGCCAAATGCGTGATGCTGTTTCTAATTGTGGAGGGAAAAAGCGGACCGCGGGGAGAACAGGCAAACTCCAAATATACAGCAGGCGTCAGGGGTTGGGATTGAACCCATATCCTCCTGCACACCGGGCGAGATAGTTAACAGACACTCGGGCGGCGTGCCTGCGCAGGAGCTCCTCCGACGCCGTTGGGGGCCGCGTCGCCCGCTCGGAGGGGGAACCGTCGTCCAGCGCGCGCAGCATGGCGTCCGTCTCGCCCAGGCCGTAGTTGAGTTTCGCCTCGGCCAGCTCGACGCTGAGCGGCCGACGGCTGCCGCCCCCCGCCGAGAGCAGCGTGGCCAGCACCATCTTCCGCTCGCGCCTCAGTTCCTCCAGCTCCATGGCTCGCGCCACCATCTCATCGTCACCCCCGTCGCCGCCCGCCGGCTTCCCGCAGGCCACGTCCGCCCCCCGTGTCGCCAGCCCTTTGGCCCTGCCTTCCGTCCTCTCCGCTGTTGCCGATTGGTTGTCTTGGTGGTGCTGCTGCTGCTGATGGTGGTTGCGTTGGTCGGTGCTCAATGTCGTCTGGTGTGTCGCATCGCGTTCAAGCACAGCGTCAATGTTCCCTGCGGTTGGCTGACTGGACGGATTGTCGTCGGGCACGTTTAACTTCTGGACGGATTTGTCGGTAGATTTGTAGGACGGGGGCTGTGAGATTTCGAATCCTGGACTTGATCCTGCGTCGTCACTGCCAGTTCTCGACCACGTGAGCTCTGTGTTCACGAGCCGTGGTTCTTCACCGGCTGACAGAGGCACCCTCTGAATGGGACTTGGTGAATCGGAGGAGCGTGTCTCTTGTTTGTGACAAGTTAAAATGACAGGGTTTGCAGAATCACCTTCCAGTTTAAAATTCGACTGCGCACGCTTGTCTTCGCCGCCAGAGTGCCGAGGAACTGGTGTCCAGATCACCCAACGTGGCTCGCCTGAATCAACACGAATTGTCGCATCAGCGTTGGCACCTAAAGCTGACCCGACTGTGACCTTTGTTGCCAACGAAAGCTCGCTGAGATGCAACGAAGTCTCGTGGGGAACGGGCTTTCCCAGAGCCTCTTCTTCAACATTTTCAGCACGGTACACTTCCGCAATCATGGGATTCGCATCATCATCATCCGGCGACTGTGCCGGCCCTGCTAGCAGGCTCGCCTGGATGCCCGACCAACCGTGGAACTTGTCGTGCTGTGGCAGATCTGACGGTAACGGGCTGAATGATTCGGCTCTGCTCGCGCCGCCCCCTTCCACGGCGTCTGTGGCCTCGTGCTCCTGCGGTGGAGAGGCGCCGATTGGCCGAGCGTTGAGGAGCTCGTCGGTGTCGCAAGACCCCGTGGAAAGAACGCTTTCAGCCATCCTCTCCGCCTCCTCGTCTGGCGGCCGCGGTGGGACGGCGAGCGGTGGTGCCCCGCTGTGACGACGCGTTCGACCCGGCCCTCCGTCGACGGCAGCAGCAGCCGAAGAGCGTCCGTCACCCGCTGCAGGAAATTCAAGCCGCGCTTCGAAGCCGCCGTCTTCTGCTCCGATTTCCGTCCTCGTCACCTGCGACTCCTCCTGCTCCAGACCAAATGCGTCCGGCTGACAAACGTGGCCCGTGCCACGGGCAGGCCTGCCGTCGACGTCTTGGCTCAAGGCATCCCATTCTGTCTCGTTGTTGGGCGAAGCAGATTTACTGCGCGATAAAGACTGCCTCGGCTTTCGGCCTGACGAAACACGCTCGGTCAGCGACACGTCGGGCTCGCTCTGCCTCCGCTGCCGGCGTGGATCCGCTGCGGGCGCGGCCGCGGAGCCGTCGGTCTCCCCGGGGTTCCCTGGTCCCTGCCGCTCTCGAGAAACCGGGCAGCCCCGCTGGTTTGTGCTGACCACCAAGATGGGCGACGTGGCGCGGTCGACGAGGACTTTGGTTGCGATGGCGTCCGCATGCGTCCACGCGCGGGGGTCGGGCGCCTGCACGTTTTCCGCCTCTCCCCTCGCGGGCGTTCGTGGGCGGCTCACCCAGTCCCGGCCTCGCACGCTGAAGGTCGTGGGGTCACGGGGCTCTGCTGCCGCGTCCGATCCCGTCACCTTGATGACGACACTGAAGGTTTGGTTCTGAGACGTCTCGGCGAGCATCAGCTGTCGGTCCCCCACATACATGCTGCTGCTGCCGCTACCACCACCACCACCACTGTCTCCATGACTGCCAAGCGAAGTGCACTTGTCCGTCTGTGTACTGACATCCTCGTGAGTTGTCGCACCAACGTCGCTCGCTCTGGGTGGGCGACGGAGAGACGAGGCGTCAGCAGAATTCACCACTAACTCGGACGGGCTGAACAGGGGTGACTGAAGGCCAATGTTGCCCAGAAGTTGAGTGGTGTTGATCAGAAGCTGTGACAGGTGGAGAGATAAATTGTGAAGGCTTCTCCACTGATGGCGGCCCAGGAGTTCGGCAGGTGACGGCCCGCTCTCCCGACCTCCTCCTGGTCCGACGTCGGTGACGCCAGCACCGGCGATCCTCGTCTGCGTGCACCTCTCCACCGTGACGACGAAGTCCGAGGTCTCGGCGTCCGCTGCCGGCGTCACCACGTCGGTCGACAACACGCCATGCCGTGATGGTGCGGTGAGGTCGTAGAACCCGTAGCGAGACTTGTGCTTGCGGCGGCCACGATCGTCGGGCAACTCGTCGTGGCTGCAAAGCCGCGAAGAGGCGCCATACGAGCTCCCCTCGTCACCGCTCCCGAAGGTTTTCAGCAGTTCCCGGGAAACCTCCCCTGAGCCGGAGCTCGTGCTGCCCGCCGAACTGCTCGACGGCTCACCCCGGTTCATGGCGTACGAGCTCAGGTGGGAATCAAAGGGCAGGCCTGCGCCGTTAAGGTCGTTGTCCACACTGGAACTGCGGTAGCGTTGCACGGCTCCCTCACCGAGGTCCCAGCCTGCCGCGGTGACCTCCGAGGAGCTGCCGAACAACGCGCGCCTGCGACCGGCGCTGCGCCTTCCGTGCTGCTCCTTCTGCCACCGCTGGCCGAACGGGTTGACGTCGCTCGGCACGAAGGTTACGGCTTGCTGGCCGCATTCCTCGCCGAGATCGTCGCCTGCAGAGCGCTGGGCATCATCAACGCCGCCGCTCGAAGCCGCGCCGCCCACAGCCGTTTGGCCGTTAGCGCCGCCGGTTGCTTCCGCAGGCGATTGCTCTTTCACTGGTATAGTCGCCTGACTCTGTGTCATGTGACCATCTCCTGCTGTCTGACTCTGCGTGGCACTACCTTCAACAAGCTGCTGCTGCTGATTTCCGTTCTCTCCCTGTGACTCTTGGTTGGGAAGTACTGGGCTCATCTCCTCGAGGCAGGATTCGCTTGTCAGACTCATATCTGCCGTAGCATTTGTTTGACAAGACCTTGGCCCTGTGTCGAACTTTGGTTGCGCCTGTTGGCAGAAAGCCTCTGTCCTGCCGTCTGCTTCTTCTTCCGAGGCGCTGGACACCACCGAGTGGAGTCTCGGCTCAAACACTGGCGTCACGATCATCTCGTCCCCACTCTCTGAAAACAAGTACGACCTCCGTTTCGAGTGTTCGCTGCCCGCGGGTGAGCCCTCGGACACCTGGGGATACGCCGACAGAAGGTAGTCGAGAGGATGCCCGATGTCCAGTGCTCGTTCATCGTGTCCGTCGGGTAGAACGCAGCACCTGGATGCCTCGGCAGATCTCGGTCTGGAGCTCTTGATAAAGAATTTCCCTTTGCCCTTTGCGTCGGCTGACCTCGGTCGCTGTTTCAGCACCAAAGGCGGCTTTGACTCGTCCCGATGCCTCTTGCCGAATCTCGGATGCTCCATCGCAGTGTCATATGGCGCGTGAGCCGCAGCGATGGGCGCGGCGATTTCACGGTCGCCGCCGGCCCGGCCCGCGTTGCCCGCGAGCACTGCGTCTGCGCGCGGCCGTGCCACCGGCGACGACTCCGCGTGGGAGGGCCTGTGGTGAGGCCCGGAGAACGGCCTTCTCCTGTGGACTTGCGGCTCCTCCCTGGCCTCCTCGCTGGACGACGTCGACTCGGAGGCGCGGTGCCACCTCGCCTGCTTGACGGGCGAGGCCATGCCGCCAGCATCATCGTCCAGAAGACGGTGGCATCCCACCAACGGCCCCCGCACCCCTCCATCGTTCTCGCTGCTTTCTGCGGAAAGGAGGCCACCGCTTCGGCTCGCCGCTGAGCTCCGCGTGGTCTCGCTGTCCGAGTCTCTGCCTGTCGCACACCCTTCAGGGCGGGGGCCCCCAACTTCGACTGTCGAAGCGCCCGCATTCGCACCCTCACCACCGCCCGCATTCGCCGCGACGTCTTCCGGCGCGCTGACCAAATCAGGGACCATCTCGACGTCGCTTAAGACGTCGATCGACGAGTCGATCGTCACACTGCGGTTGCTTGACAACCGCCCACCCGTCCGGCGTGCGAGGGAAAGGGAGAAGCTGCATCCTTCGTCATCTTCCTCCTCCTTCCTGGCCGGGCTTTCATCACGGTCGATGGCCCTCCCTTGGTGGTGCCCGATGGCCTGCTCCAGTAGGTGGCGCAGCTGCTCTTGCTTGGCGGGCGTGAGCTCCCCTGAGGACGACGCGAAGTCCTCGTCCTGCGGGTCCGCCATGATGTCGAGCCGCCGTTCGGCCTTGGGGCCTCGGTGCTCTTCTTCACCAACAGCGTCTTCGGCAGGATCTTCGGCAGCGCAAGATCGTGTAGCCGTGGCCGGCGTGAACGTGAACGACGCTTGCGTGGAGATCGTCGCCACGTCCGAGCTCCGTTCCGCCGCCAGTGTCCGAGCAGGGCCGTCGCTCAGCGCCAACGTTGTTTTCTCGTCCCTTGGATGAACATGCAGAACTTCCCCCAGCTCTTGCTTCACGTCGGTGCATTGCTGATCCGCACGCTCTGAGCTCGTGATGATGGATTCCATCAAGACACCCCGAGTTCCTTTGAAGGGCAACATCTCTCGCTGCCTCTCCCCATTAGCATTAGCCTCTGCTTCGGGATCTGACAATGGCTGCTGTCGGGCTGTGTTGATGGATTGATCATCGGCCTCCTGCACTCTCTCCAAGGCTGATTCCTCTGGAGAAATGTTAATTGTACGACACTGCTCTTGTTTTGCCATCGGTGAAAGGTGTGGACTCGCAGGCTTGACCCCGCCATCTGTAAACACAAAGGCCGATCCAGGACCCCCGTCGGAAGCAGCATTAAACTCTTCATCCGCCTGCACTGCAACACCATCGGGGGCACGGCCACCCTGAGCTTCATCGCTGAACGCCAGAGCAGACGTTTCCCCCTCTCTGAGACCACCGTCATCCTTGCCTTCGATTCCTGCAGGCCCTTGCGATGGAATGGCGGTGTCGTTTCTGCTACCGCTGCCATCTGCATCGTCAACAGCACCGGCCAAGCTTCTGACCACTTCGGTGATCTCTGCCAGCTGCACTGCGTCTGGTCGCGATTGAGCTTCACTGGACGGTGGACGATCTGAATCTGCCCCGGCCACATAAACGACAAGCTCTTCCGTTCTCTGCTGCTGCCCTTCGCTGACGTGTACCTCGGCATTCTCAAACAGAAAACAGAGTTCTCCTGCGACCGCTTCACACCCGCAACTCGCGGTTTCACCGTCGGCACTGTCATCGCAAATTATCAAACTATCTTCACTCTTCTCGGGAGACAAGGGTGGGCTCTTTGGAAGCGCGTCAACATTTTCGCCGCTCGGCAAGTTGTCCACTGGCGTAACTTCCCCACCCGCATCGGGACTTTTATCGCCGGGGTCCTCGGAGCATGGGAATTGTCGTGAGAACTGGACTCCTTCCTGCTGGTCCACCGAGACCGGCGATGGTAAATGCTGGGCCCCTCGCGCTTCAGCGGTGCCGATCATTGCCACGTTTTCCTGCCGACGGGATTCACGGCTGACATAGCGTTGGCCATCTGCGCCGGTGAAATCTGCACGATGTACGTTTTCGCCTCCTGCAGAATTCTGCTTTTGGCTACATTCAAGATCTCCACCAGCGACTTCGTGGGGCTTGGGAACGCGGGGAGTGTCGTCTTTGAGGCCGCTCAAATTAAGAGCTTGCACTGAAGATGTCGAGGTCGCATCATCTTCTGTTCCATCTGATACATTCTCATCTTCACTACCCTGAGGTTGGAGCAGGCTGAGGTCCAGTGAGAAGCTTGATTTATCAACATGCTCTTCACTGACGCCATCATGAAATTGTGCTGCTTCTGTGTGGATTTGCTCAGAATAATCAGTGCAGTATTCCACATGGAGATCCATCCCTGATGGGTGCCTTGCTTCGCGATGGGAAAATCCAAAATCTGATCCGGCTGTTGTATCTAGGTCATCTTCCCCATCGTATGGATATTCAATAACTTCCACCGAATTATCACGCTTAAGTTCGACTCGCTCTGAAGAAATGCGTTTTTCACTCTCTGCTGAGTAAATGTGCTGCGTTTCTACACCGACGGTCACGGTCTGCGTATCTACCCCTTCGTCCAAGAACTCGGCGCTGCCCTCCGTGTCAACAACGGCAACAGAGCCCTCTTCCTCTTCGGGCCTCAGTCGTTTATCGTCGCCTGAGGAGTCCGTCCCTTTGGCCCGTTTACTCGCGAGGACCGCATCGCCGGCGACTCTCGCGCTGTCTACTTCCTCGGCGCCGTCGTCAAACGAGATTCTCGGCATCCCGAACATGGCATGGAAAGCTTTCTTGAAGGCGGCCGTCATCGCCGGCGAGAGTCTCTCGTCCAGAAAATCGCTTCCCCCCCCCGCCTCCTCCTCTCGTTCGCTGGCCCCGTCGCCACCCGCCGCCATCGAGGACGCCGTGTGAAAGGAATCCACCGAGTATTCGGAACCTCTCGGTGTGTCTTCCCCGTCTCCGCTCACCGCCGCGAACCCGTGTCCATGGTCGCTCTCTTCTGCGAGGTCGTACCCCGCGGCGAACGCGTGATGTCCGCCCCGGAGGTCACTCGCGGACGACAACGAAAGCCCGCAGTCGTCGTTCAGGTCGAACGAGCACTGGGAAAAAAGGGGGGTGGCTGCATAGTCTTCTTCGTAGCCGCCACCGCCATCCCCGTCCATGCTGTCCGCCATGTGCTCGAACTCCTCTGGCACCGTCTGCAGACCGCGCTCCCAAACGCAGTCCCCCGCGGCTGCGCTGGAGGCCACCTGCGGCTCGTGCATGGAGGGGGCCTTTTTGAGCACTCCCCTCACGACGACGTGCGGCAGCTCTGCCGCAACGCTCGTCCCTTTGCGGGGATCGTCGAAGTGGGCGCAATAAACGCCACGAGGCTCGGGTGGAACCGCGACAACGTAGATGCTGCACTCGGATTGTTTGGTGCTGTCGAGCGACAACACTTCCGGGCCGACCGCGGGCAGCGACAGTTTTTGGTCCAGATGTCTCGATTCCTCGTCCTCGCCTCCGCCCTTTGACCCATGTTTGTGTTCGCCGGTGCCAATGAGGGCTCGGTGAGGCCCACATTCTGGGCTCTCCAGCAGCGTTTCAGACGAGGTGTACCCACTGTCCTTACGGCTCTGCGTTGTCTCCAGCTTGTGATGGACAGCAAGGTGGTACCGAGCCTTCCTCGATGACTGCGAGCTCTTGCCGACCTTTACTTCAACGTCTGTTCGATGATCCACGCGCCCACTTTGGTCACTTTGCATCTCAGTGCTCCCCACACCGATCACACCGAACTCATCGCAGACTCCACTGTCCTCATTAGGCAATGGTAGCTGTGCATTCACGGTCAAGCCTGAAGAACTCCCTGGCCTCCCCGCTTCCCGCCGTGATGAGGCAGGCGCCTCAATGTGGATCGTAATTTCAACGGGGGATTGTGTTTTGCCTTCGGGAGGAGCAGGTGAGCAAATGTTTGTGATCTCAGGCTGAGGTCGGGTTGCAGACTGTCGCGCGGTCTCCGGGTCGGACGTCGCTCTCATCGCAGTGCCACCCTGGACCACTATTTCCCCACGCTCTTCGACTCCCGCGTTCTCACACTCGGCAGCGAGCATGAGTGCCGAGCGTGCGTGTGACTCATCGTCCGTCGACGCATTTTCTTTCGCGACGGCGGTGAAAATGCCAGGAGCGAGCAGCTCAGCTTCCCCATTGTCTTCGGCAGTAAGTTCCGGGCTCGCGCCATGCACAGCACCGCGGTCTTGTGATTGGCATTCTGGTGAAAGCGCTACTGAAAGCCCAAGAGATTGTGTATTGCCTTCAAAAGGAGCAGGCGGATGACCCGCAGTGCTCTCGGGCTGAAGCAGGACGGTGACAGATTCTGCGTGGTGGAGCGAAGAAACACCCTCCTGGCCGGGCATCACTCTCGTCGCCATCCCATGCTGGATCACTATTTCCTCACACTCCTTAACCTCTGCGTTCTCACACTCGGTCGCGTACACAAGTATCAGGCGTGCGCCTCGCTCACCGTCTACCGCTACATTTGCTTCTGCGGTGAAGCCGACTCGAACCTCGCCGCCGGCGAGCGGCTCTGCTTCTTCGTTTCCAGTGATGGCGTCTTCAGTCAGACTGCGTGCAACGTCGCCATCTCGCGTTTGACGCGCCGATGAACGCAGCACGGAAAACCCAAGAGAATCTGTAGAGTGCGGCGGTAGCCCGCCGCACTCTACACCATAGCCACGATTGCCACGCGCTGTCTCACGATTGTTCACGTCGCCGGTTGATGTTGTGCCATCGCCAAACACCTCGACGCCAATGCCAACGATCGCCTTCGCGTTTTCGTCATCCTCCATTGCACCTTCCGATGATGGAGCCTTTGCTCTTTCCGCCGAATGAAAATCTGGTGCTGGCGATTCACTGCAGCGGGGCTGGCAGGTTTCAACGGGGTGGGTCTGAGATTGTGGGTTGTCGAAGTGAAGACCATTGTTTTCGTAGTTCTGAAGTCCTTCAGATGCCTCAGGGTCTTCCGTTAAAACCATTCCAGAATCCTCATCGCTACGGAGTTCGGTGTGTTGTTCTGAATATGCTGTTTCCACAGCAGTATTAAATAGCTTCTCCTTGTCAGCTGATTCGTGAGCAGGTTTCACTGAGACAGAATCAATTGGTGGTTCCTCTTTTATTATCTCTTCATCTTCTGTTACAGCTGCTACAAATGACACACACCCTGCCAGTGATGAAATTAGCTCGCGATGCAGGTTCTGGTAGTTCTGAAGAACTTCGGATGCCTCACGTTGAGGAATACTGTCCAATTCGGAAAGTGCACCATGAACAGAAATATCATCCTCTGTCTGAACCATCCCAGTGTCTTTATCAGCGGTGAGATGTTCTGAACATGTGGTTACGCTGTCCATGTCTACATCAGCTGTTGCCACCTCACTGTCTGATGTCTCACTTGCTTCTGCTATACCTGCCATGGGCGACAACAAAGAAGCCGTTTTTTCACAAGGAGCAACTGCAAGCAGTTGAGGTTCATCTGATTGAGGTTCATCTGATTGAGATTCATCTGATTGAGATATCAGAAAACTTCTTAGAGGCTCTTTCTGAAGTTGGGGGATGCCGGTGTCAAGCCCAAGGCTTTTCTTGACGTCGGTGTCTTCCACTGTCCCAAGTTGTGTGGCATCGTCTGTTAGTGTTATCACGTTCCTCCTAACAACAACAGGGTCTTCCGTGAACACCGTTCGAGAATCCTTATTGCCATGGTGTTCTGCGTGTTGTTCTGAATATACTGCTTCCACGGCAGTATTATATGTTTTCTCCTCATCTGCTGATTCATGAGTGTGCTTCACTGAAACAAAATCAGTTGCTGATTCCTCTTTCATAATCTCTTCATCTTCTGTTGCAGAATCTACAAATGATACAAATGACACACGCCCTACTGGTGAAAGAATTAACTCACGATTTTCGTTCTGGAAGTTCTCAAGTCCTTCAGATATCTCACGTTGAAGAATACTGTCTGATTTTGAAAGTTCACCATGATCAGGAATGTCATCCTCTGTCTGAACCATCCCAATGTCTTCATCTTTATCAGCGGTGAGATGTTCTGAATGTGTCGTTTCTGTGTCCACGTCTATATCAGCTGTTGCCACCTCCATCTTTAATGTCTCACTTGCTTCTGCGACACCTTTGGTGGTAGCCGTGACGTCTTCTTTTGAAGCGGCGTTTTCTTTCAAAGCTTCTGTCGTGGCTGCTAAAGACAGCAAATATGTTTCCTCGGAAGTAGCAGCTGCAAGCAGTTGAGATCCATCTGATTGAGATGTCGGGCAAATTCCAAGGAGCTCTTCCAGAAGTTGTGGGCTGCCTGTGTCAAGGCCAAGTCGTTGGTTGAAATTAGTGTATTCTGTTGTGACATCATCTGTTTGTGTTATCACGTTGCTCCCAACAACATGGTCTTCTGTTAATGTCCTAGAACCCTCATCACTATGGTGTTCAGAGTTTTGTTCTGAATATATTGTTCCCACATAATCAATTGGTGGTTCATCTTTCATAATCTCTTGTATATTCTCTGTATCTTCTGTTGCAGATAATGAATACATTAGCTCCTGTTCTTCATTCTGGTAGTTCTGAAGTCCTTCGGATGCCTCACATTGAGGAATACTGTCTAATTCTGAAAGTGCATCATTAGCAAGAATGTCATCCTCTGTCCGAACCATCCCAGTATCTTCATCTTTATCAGTGGTAAGATGTTCTGAACATGTGGTTGCGCTGCCCATGTCTACATCAGCTGTTACCACCTCAATGTCTGATGTCTCACTTGCTTCTGCTACACCTACGATGGTAGCCATCACATCTTCTTTTGAAGCGTAATTTTCTTTTAAAGCTTCTGTCATAGCTGCTAAAGACATAGAAGGCATTTCTTCAGAAGTATCAGCTGCAAGCAGTTGAGATCCATCTGATTGAGAAGTCGAGCATATTCCAAAGGGCTCTATCTGAAGTTGGGGGTTGCCTGTGTCAAGGCCAATGCTTTGGTTGAAATTGGTGTCATCTTTTGTCCCAAGTTGCGTTGCGTCGTCTATTATTGTCATCACGTTGCTAACAACAACATGGTCTTCCGTTAAGACCGTCCCAGAATCCTCATCGCTACAGTGTTCTGCGTGTTGTTCTGAATATACTGCTTTTACAGCAGTATTAAATATCTTCTCCTTGTCAGTTGATTTGTGAGCATGTTTCACTGAGACAGCATAAATGAGTAGTTCCTCTTTTATTTTCTCTTCATCTTCTGTTGCAGATGCTACAAATGATACACATCCTGCCGGTGATGAATTTGGCTCATGATCTTGGTTCTGGTAGTTGTGAAATCCTTCGGATGCCTCATGTTGAGGAATACTGTTTGATTCTGAAAATGAACCATTAGCAGGAATGTCATCCTCTGTTGGAACCGTGCCAGCATCTTCATCTTGATCAGCAGTGAGATGTTCTGAACGTGTCGTTACTGTGTCCACGTCTACATTTGCTATTACCATCTCCGTGTCTGATATCTCACTTGCTTCTGCTACACCTATGGTGGTAGCCATGACATCTTCTTTTGAAGTGTAATTTTCTTTTAAAGCTTCTGCCGTGGTTGCTAAAGACAGAGAAGGCATTTCTTCAGAAGTAGCAACTGCAAGCAGTTGAGATTCATCTGATTGAGTTGTCGGCCAAAGTTCAAGGGGCTCTTCCTGAAGTTGGGGGCTGCCTGTGTCAAGGTCAAGACTTTGGTTGACATCAGTGTCTTCCGCTGTTTCAAGTTGCGCATCGTCATCTGTTTGTGCTATCATGTTGCTCCCAACAACAGGGTCTTCCATTAACATCTTTCCAGAATCCTCATCGCTTCGGTGCTCTGCGTGATGTTCCGAATGAACTGCCGCTGAGCCAGTGTCACATACGCCCTCCTCATCTGCCGGTTCGTGAGTGTGTTTTATTGAAGCTGACTCAGTTGATGGTTTCTCTTGTACAGTATCATTTATTTTCTCTCCATCTTCCGTCGCGCATTCTAAAGGTGACATGCGGCCTACTCGCAAGGAAACACGCTCGCCAATCTGCGAGTTATCCGCGTGACATGAGCTGATGAATTCCGTCGACAATGACGCGTTCGTCAATTCGAGACCCAACCTCTGTCCCGAGTTAATTTCTCTCTTCGCCGTCTGGTGGGCAACGTCCGCTTCCGTTACTGCACGGGCACGGACAAGCACTTCACCTACTGGACCTGACGCCGGGAGCTCACCTCCGTTGGCTTCAATTCGTCGCAATATAGCCGATTCCTCACCGATACCCAAATCACACGCGATCACTTGCTCAGCTGTTGCTTTGGTTTCTTGTTCCGTTGCACCAGCGTCGATTGGGGCCTCCTCATCATGCACAACCCTCGTCTCAGATTTCAGAGCCGAGTCTTGCGAATCGCCAGGTTCACGTAGCTGGCATTCACTCTCGCGGCACGTGTAGATGTAAAGAGTTTGTGGCAGTGACATTGGCTTATTTGCGACATCTCGTGCTCCCGCACCTGTGGCATCTGTAACACCCTCTGTTGACGCCAGCCTGCCGTGATCATCTTTAAGAGTTCCTCGATCCTCCAGATGAATCATCCCTGAGACGCCACCCGAAGCATCGTCAATCTCCCCCTTTGCCACTTTAGCTTCCTCTACTGCAGCGGCCTCACTGAGAATTTCTCCAGAGAAGGGCGTGTGTGCGTCTCTACCGTCGGGTGTGTGTACGCCAATGCAACTTTCTTTATGTCCTTGGCAGCTCGCATCGAACCCCATGCACGGAGTGGTGTCGTGCGATTCCTCCTCTGTAATGGCATCACTATCGATCATTGCCGCCGATGAAACTGCTTCCATCGCCTTTTCCGAAAGTGCAGCGTGACACACGAGACTGATAATTCCTGAGACGCCACCCACAGCATCGTGGAACCCATCCTCTGTCACTTTAGGTCCCTCTACTACTACTGCAGCAGTTTCAACGAGAGATTTCCAAGATAGAAAAGTGTCCGTGTCTTTATAATCATCGGCGTTCAGCTCTGAAGGTATGGCATGGCTGCATTCACCAGGATCAGATTCATTTGCTTGAGGTGCTGCTGTACGGGATGTTTGCACTTCAGCATCACTGCTCTCGTGATGCTCTTGGGAACTCAAATCAAGTCCTGATGGTAGGAGACCATGAAGATCCTCTGCGGTCTTCTCATGTGTGATGTCGCATGATGGCTCTGTTGTAATGGTGCCACCAACAGTAATTTCCTCTGATGGAACTGCTGCTACTGCTGGGTCTTCAAAGCCACCCATTGCCCATTCTAAGGGAACATTGTGTCCAATGTCTGAGACGTCGGAGTCAAGGGTTCGTGTTGTGTTATCGCGGGCAGAGACAATATCAGGAGATCTTGGCTGAAATTGTGGGACACCTAAATCAAGAGCAAATCTCCGGTTGTTCTGAACATCCTCTGCTTCCAATGCTGGCAGATCAAAACTCCCTGCAGCTTGTGTGTCACTAATGCTGCTTTCCGTGGTGTCCACTTTATCTGATGATGCATTCGAAGTCTCATCGAGCTCAGGCAGACTGCGCAGAGGGGCAACCTCTTTAAATTCACTGCCGACCGCAATTGATTTATTGTCCAAAACTGCTTCCTCAACCTCAGGGTTAGCGATTTCCACGTGCATGCTTCTCTCTGCATCGTAATGAGTATTACTCATCTCATCACGCTGCATGCTACACTGCCCTTCACTAATTCCCACAGGACTGTTGGGCAGAACGTTTATATCATCTCGACCAGTTTCTTGCATGGCAACATCCTCAGCCACATCCTGATAACTATTCGTAACACATTCCTGGCCAGACAACGATAGCTCTTGGCCTACGGTCACATCTGAACTGCTTATAAACCCTCCAGCTTCTTCGCCGAGCTTGATTAGTTCACTTTCGATTTCAGTGCAGAGTGGTGCTCTGCTTTCAGAAGGCTCCTGAAAATTTAAATTGCTCTCGGCCTGTGAAGGGTTGTCAACAGATCGTATGCGATGAGTTGGGGAAACACCTCCGAGGTCAGAGCCTGCCACCTGGACATCTGTCACGTCTCCTCGAGGTGTAACATTTTGCTCAGGATCCAGGCAAAACACAGATTTGCTTCCAGGTGAAGGCACGCACGTTCGCAATTCACTCGGATGGTCTGGGCCGACGTCTCCTGAATCTGTGAGATTACTCAACTCAGGTGAACACTTTAAGTCTCCGTGAGCTTCCTCACCGGCCTCCTCCTGCTGAGCCTTCTCTACTTCTGCCACCGAGTGGGTAACAGCAGTATCCGTTTCTTTTACTGCCAGCCCAGCATCGTCACCTCCATCAGACTTACACTGCTGTGGAAGACTCACTTCTGAGACCAGATGCTGATAATTCACCGTCCCCTCTTCCCCTTCTTTTTCTTCTTCACCTTTCGCCATTGCAGTTGACTCTTCTATCACCTCCGCAACAACTGCCGATTCCGGTCTTGGACTATCAGCCTCGGCTATAGTTTCTGAGAGTACAAAACACGCCACTTCAGCAGACCCCAAATCAATTGTTTGTTGCGAAGTTGCAGGAGACGAGTCAATTTCACTCAATTCTTTGGGAGATATGTTGTGGTGGGGAACATCCAAGTCTGCGCTTGGCAGGGCTGTGCTGTCAACTTCTTTCTGGCCCGGTCTCACCTCTCCTCTCACGGCCACAGCTGAGTCTTCACCTCCTTGTGCTGTCTCATCTGAAGGCGGCGGGATATTCGATGCCCCTTCCCCGTCGTCTGTGAGTATGCTTGATTGATTTGCAGGCAGCACGGCGGCTTCACCAGAGTCCGCATTCAAACGCAGATCGCCCAACCTAGGCCCAGGCTCGTGAACATCTGCTTCCTGTACAGTGACGTTAACTCCTCCTGTTGCAGTATCGCCACCACCTGAAGCAACACACTTGGTAGATTTGTCACTCTCAATCACACCTTGTTCTACACGCCCTGGCGATGACGTGGCACGTCGGGCACCTGCGTTGGATTCTTCGTGTGCCCATTCTGCTGCTTCAACCTCATCTGCCGTCGCGTCGAGGCCAAGTGGAATATCTCCTTGCAGGCTGTCTTTTGAACTTTCACTACTTCCTGTGCCACCTCCTGGAAGCGCGCCATTCCCTGCTCGAGCAGAACGACAAGCGTCACTTCCTTTAGGTGGGTCTGATTGAGGCATGCTGGTTTCAAGTAAGTCTAACGAAATGGTCTCAGATGACTCGGCAATAGGGCTTTGGTGGTCATGGACCTCAACCGTTACACGTGGTGGGTCGGCGTCGACATCTGCATCTTCTATGGCATCTACGGCAACTGAGATGTCCTCTACTGAAGCTGGCTCAGTGAGACTGGCCTCAGAGCCTACGGCCGCTACACCTTCACGAGAGCTGCCGTCAGTCTGCCCGTAAAGCACTGAAGGGGACGGCTCAATTATTTCCGACTCCGCAGCATCTGCAAGCAGCTGTCGAACTATTTCAGATTCCGCACATGACGAGCCATCCTCTCCTTCCTTCACACCCACGTCGTCATGGTCATAGAGATGTTGCCGTGCCGCCAAAGCCAGCAAAGAGGGACTTTGAGCCGCTCGATCAGTGACCTCGGCGTTATGCTCGCGGTCGCCAAGCGAGCTGGACGGAGGCGTTTGTCCTTCCGTCGGCTTCGGCGTCCAGTAAAACTCTGTGGGCACATCTCCGTGCTGTCCATCGGCACCGTCCCCAGCCAGAGGGGCGTACGGCGAGCGAGGGACTTCAAAATCGACCATCTCCGTGAAGCAGTCCGGAAGGGATGAGGTGCGCACCCGCGGCCCCTCCCGCATCTGGGGCGGCAGCACCGCCCGGCTCGAATGACGCAGCGAATCCGGCGACAACGGCCCGTCGCTGTCGCTGCCTCTGTCGCACGACCACGAGTGGCGCTCGGCCGCGCACAGGGCGCTCTCCTCTTCGTGCAGCCGCTCCTCTAGCACCCTCAAGTAGGCCGAGGACAGCGAGTCCACCGAGTTGAGGCTGTCGTCGGAGAAATCACATTCGTCATCGTCGTTGTCGTCGTCCGTGCCGTCGTCAGGTGCCTCCTCGTCCTCCAGAAGGACCGACGATCGGACGTCGCTCTCCAGCGGATCGGCGCTCTGCCACCGCCTCGGCCTCGGTACCAAATCCTCGACGGGGCGGAGGTCTTCTTGGGAAGCACGGGTGTCGCGGAGACTCGACAGCTCCACCAGGGAGATGGCTGCCTTGAGCGCGCACAGCTGTGCTGTGCCGGTGAGCGCGCGCGCCGGCTCCATGAGCCGCTCGCTCCTCGCCAGGTCGCGCAGCTCTGTCAGCGACACCGCCGCCGCCATGACGTGCGATCCGGCGACCTTCGCCCCACGGCGGGGCGACGAGGCAATCGGCTCCGCCAGGTTTCCCGTGGACATTAACTTGGCGAAGGCGTCGGCGCGGGCGGTCGGGCCACGGGACTCGCTGCGACACCCGCCGTCCCACAGCCTGTCCACGCTCTGTGAAAACGGTCGCGGCGGCCTGGCGGGCGACACCCCCACCAGTCGGCCACTTCTCCCCGACGGAGGCTTCCTGTGCAAGGAGGGCCCCGCGGAGGCCTTCCCGTCGCCGCCCCTGCGCTCGCCCGGCAGCAGCTTGCGCGTGTCCCCCTTCTTCTTCCCTTGCGGCTTCTGCTCCGCAAGGTCATCTTTGCTCGGCTCGGGGGCTTTCCCCAAACCACCGGCCCTAAGTGGCTGCGCGGCCCTTTGTTCGCTGGATTTCATCGAGCCCTTCATGGGCCTCATTTTGGGATTGACCGTCGGCACGAGTGGCGCCCTGCCCAGAGCTTCGCACGGGCTCTTTGGCACGCCGTCGGCCGGCGCCTCTGCCTCTCTCTCGCCGCGCTCCTTCAAGCTGTGCTCCCGTCCGCCGGACCAGGACTTCGCCACCCGTGAATCTGGCCTTCCCTTGGGGCCGCGGACGGGCGACACCGCTCTCGGGAGGAATTCCTCGGAGCGAGCTTTTCGCGGGAGAGTCGTGAAGTGTGGGCTCGGGCGTGCTGCATCCGGAGGCAACTTCCTCTTCAAATAGCTGTGAGCACAGAGCGGGAAAATAGCAGCACAAAACTGCACTTTAGTTCAACTCATGCGCTTCTTAAGCCACAAAGTCAATCGAAAAACAGCAACAGTAAAGGTGTAGCCCTGTGATTACTTCCCCAAGTCACTGCTGGCGCAAGGGCCTCCCAGAGGGAGCTCAAGCGAGCCTCTCTAGAGGGAATTCAGCCTCCTTTAACATGCTGACCAGGCGACTTGAAAGAGAGTACCCACCACCACGTTACCCCAGCGCACGTGACCTGCCGATCGATACAACTGTGGTTCACCCCTTTTAATATTGTCATTGTCAAAAGCGCTCCATCATTTTTTGTTTTTACAGACGAGCGCAGGCGCCCACCCGCCCTCCCTCCATACCTGTGCAGCGGCGAGTTGTGCGGATACAGCCGGGCCGTCACTTCGGCCGCGCGGCCAGCGCCCCGCGTGCCCTTGGAGGCACCAGCGGGTCCCGAGGGCCGGCACGGGGAGCCCCTGCGGGCGGCGCGGGCCAGGCGGTTGCGTGCGAGCCGCCCCGCCGCCTCCAGCCGCCGCAGCTTCTTCTCCTCCTCCAGGATGTGCTGGCGCTCGGCCAGGCGGTCCAGCCGGTACTGCACCCGTCTGTGCGGCAAATGTGGAGGACGTCAACGACGATTCGTCGTGTTTATACGCGGAAAGCGCGGAGCCGAATGACGATGGTAGATTCTGAAACGCCAGTCACCAGCGAAAGATATTTTGCACGGGACTTTTAAAAAATCCTTCACGTGGCCTCTTGCTCCTTTGAAGAGGTGGGGCCGCTTATAATCCCTTACACTCTCCTTTGAGGTTTGTTGTCGCATGGCAAGGACGAAGCTCAAATTATATGCAGAACTAATTTAATGATGTTTTTTTGTGCAGTCATCGGTGACCAGGCTGATACCATAAACTCCCCACACACAAGCAGCTGCCCACATTCAAACCCATAATTTCAACTTATTTTTGTTATTATATTTTATAAACTAAATACTATTTTTACATGGTTGGTTGGCACTTCTAGTAACTCAGCCAATCCTCCCTCCAGGCTCATTAAAATTAGTAGCACTATGTAAAAACTAAAACTAAACAATTTTTATTTTACCAAGGTAAGGCCCCGCTGAGTTGTATAGCTCTTTTTCACAAGCAACCTGGCCATAAATGATAGCTCAACGAAGTGGTTTATGACGTGGAAATTTATAACAGCCAATTACTCGAAGCTCAACAAGTTGGTAAGTGAACAAGTGGTCATCCTATGAATTCGGCTGACATCTGCCTTGGCAATGTGGAATTTCCACCACTGACTCAGAACTGCCGACGGCGACGAACGGCCGACCCCATCGCTCGTTCGACACGGGCGACGGAGGCATTTCGAGCCACCTTCGTTTTCGTTTTGAGCGCAATCACTCGAACCCAGCACCTGTGAGCAATGGTCCTCTTGACGCACTGCGCCGAGTCGAGCTGCAGCACCTCCAGGTGCACCATCCTCTGCCGCTCCTTGTTCGGTGGCGCTAGGGACGACGTGCGGGCGCCGACAGTGGCACAGACGGCGGCAGGCCGGGCCTCCCCGTCCGACCTCGCCATCACATCCGGCTCGCATGCCTCATCGCTGTCCGCCGGCCCAACGGCCCGCTCGGCCGTTGCCGCGATGCCGTCGCCACCGAGAACGGTCGCCCCTTCTCGCTCGTCGCGTGCGGTCCCCTCGCGAACCATCCGGCATTCTCCATGGGCCAAAGCCAGAGGGTGAGCGGCCGCCGCTGCTGCCGCCGCCACGGTGCCACCTCCAAGGGCTGGAGGGGCGAGGCTGCCGCCGCGAGCTTGAGAGCGGTCGGCCGCGTTTGTCCCCATCGCGGTGTCGGCGTCCTCGTCAGGAATCTCCGTCGTGGCTGAGCCGAAGTCGGTGCAAGCATCGTCCGCCCCACCCTGACCGGCCATTGCATGCTGCGCGTGCAAACAGTGGAAACATGCCTCCTGTAATCAACCAGGAATGTCTGTCTTTAGCGCTCGTGATGTCACTCTACATCGACCAACCCCCCCTCTCATTAATAATCATAAGCAAGTGACGTCCTCCAAATGGACACCCCCCCACCCCTCCTCATTAATAATCATGAGCGGGTGATGTCACTCAAGATGGAGTACTCCCCCCCCTCACTAATAATCATGCACAAGTGACGTCACTCCACATCGAACAGCCCCCCTCATTCATAATCATGAGCAGGTGACGTCCTCCAAATTGACAACCTCCCCATTCATAATAATTAGCGGCTGACGTCACTCCACATTGGGGGGCGAGGCGCCTCCTCCCCCCTCCTCGGCGTCAACTTACAACCCTCACTACAAAGGCAGAACCCTCACGTCACGCGATCTCCGTAACGCTGTTGACACATCAAAGTAAAAAGGACGTCATGATGAACAAGGGATTATCAGCTTTAAATGAAATAGGTCTGTGTCACCGCGCATTCATGCAATGAATATCACGTCGCGGTCTGCTTTTCGCTTGCAAGTTTCAGATTTACTGAAATACACCCGTCCTTGGACGGGCAAAAGGCTAGTTCAAGAATATTGAATGAAATTATACGAATTGAGAACAAATGTGTCCTTCAGGTATCATCATCATCATTATTATTATTAAAAACGCATTTACCGAATATGCCCATGAAGGTGGAGCGGTAATGCTGTGGCGTGTGCACTGCGCTTCCAAACGAGCAACCGGAGTTCGATTCCCGGCTACGGCTAACCAATCGAGCGATACACGAACTGGTTCCCCTCATTCATCGACCCACGCTGACCAATGTGATGGAAGAAGAACGATCAACCAACCCCTCTGACTCACGTAGCATTGCGAACACTTCATCCAGAAGCATATTGTCAAAGGGCTGTTACATGATGTATTTATGTATGTTGAACTTCTTTCGCACCGCACGTAACCCAACCGTGTTAATCGGAGCAGCAGGGGAAAGACAATAAAATAAACACAAAAAGCATTTTTAACAAATTACTTTTTTATCCAGTGCATGACTGCAGTGGGAGTGCGCTGGGTGAGATGTTAAGAGGTAGTGTCTGCACCTTCTACTGACCATCCCCCACCCCCTGATCTCCCCCCCCGCCCCGATCCCGCCCACCCCACTCCACCAGGCTTACCCCATTCAATTCGACCGCTCTTCATGAAGAATTCGCTTTCTCAATGATTTTTAAACGTTTTGCTCCCTTGTATTATGATTCCGTTCCATTATTGCAAATGGCAGCAATGATGATCAGCCACTAAAATCCAATGCCGTGGTCTGATGTGCCACTGCGAGAGGGCTTCAGGAGAGAGAGAGAGTTCCTGTAGTTTTTCTGTTCCCTCCTTTGAAGGAGCATAGACTACAGTGGTTATTGATAATGATGAAAGGAATAAGTGAATTCCTTGCTGTATGTATGTTGAACTTTTTTCGCACCGTACGTAGCCAACCGTGTTAATCGGAGGTGCAGGGAAGGACAACAAACTAAATACAAAAAGCAGATCTAAAGAAATGAGGTTTAAATTTGGATGATTTGAAAGTGCATTTCCTAATATCGGTAGGAAAAGCGTTCCAGACGGCCGCAGAAGTGCATTTGAAAACGCGCGATGCGGCGACCGTCTTTGTTCGATGGCCAGCAGCGAGAAGCCGCTGCTGCGAGGATGACCAGAGTTAAGCGTAAAATGGCAGAGAAAAAACACACGAGACATCATAGCTTAGCCTGAGCGACGGCGCAACACGCCACACACATCGGAGCATGGAGGACACTCTGTGAGAGCCGGATTGGCGTATTGGCTAAACGGCCGAAACGCATCGCCCTGCTCCTTTGCCCCCCCCCCCCCCCCCCCCCGTTGCTGACAACACACAGGAACGCTCGCCTTCACATTTTTTTCAAGTCCTTTGAATTCGACCGGACAAATGGATACAACTGCACACCGACTGGGCTGTTCGCGCCCACATCAGAAAATTTCGATTGAAAAAATCTGCGTGCGTGCCGGTAGTGACCTCTGTCGATTCGTCGCCGCCCTCTGCGAGCCGCTGCCCTCCGTACAGCGCTGGCCCGGTCCCCGCGGCCGTGACGCCGCACGCCCCCGTCGTCGCCGCTCCCCCCGTCGTCGTCACGCGTCGCCCGTGGCCGCCCGTGCCCGCCGCGGCCTGCACGGAGGCCTCGGCCGCGTCGGTGAGCGGCTCCGTCTGGATGGCCGACTCGCGCCGGTCCGGCGAGCCAAGCTGCTGCAGGTGATGAGACTCATCCTCAATGCAGCGCTGGCCTAGGGGGAGCAACGAATCAATCGTCGTCGTCATCGTCGTCGTTATTTTTGTTGTCATAATCGTGATCATCGTCACTGTCATCAACACTGTACATGTGAGTCTGACTGCTGGACGAGGATTCTGCCAGCGCCGTGCGGGTTGCTGAAGGCAGGATGTGGGAGCAAACAAATACAGCACAATAACGGAGTTTGGATCACTGGCCTCCGCTGCTCACAACGCAGCCCCACGGCAGCGTTGGTCATCCAGGGTCAACCCTGCTTAGCTTCCAATTGATGATGAGATCAGGTGCATCCTGAGTGTAACTTGCTGACCCGCCCCGACTGGACATCCGTGAAAATGAGCTTCATTGCTCATCGGATTTCTCCAGTCTAAATAAAGATTTCAGATTCTGATCTTGACCATTGTCGCTGCCACCGTCACGATCATCGTGGCCGCGTGCGTGTGTGCATGTGTGCGTGCGTGTATATGTTCGTGCGTGCGTGCGTGCCGCTCACTCTCGCGCAGCTGCGTGTGGAGCAGCTCCTCGTCAATGCGGAGTTGGCGTGCGGCGCGGCGCCCGGCCTCCTCGCTCTCGCGGCGCAGGCGCTCCAGCAGCCGCCGCTGGCGAGCCACCTCCTGCTCGTATGCGCGCAGGGCCGCCTCTTCCTCCTCCTCCATCCCCACCGCGTCCACCAACCCCTCCGGCAGCCCCGTCGCCGAACCCAACGTCTCCTGCTGCTGCTGCTGCATGCGGGCGGCATGGCACGCCGGCTTTAACTACCCCAGAAGGATGATATGAGTCGCGGTTATGTATGTATGTATGATGTTGAACTTATTTAGCACCGTATGTAGCACAATGTGCTAATCGGAGGTGCGGTGTAAGGACAAACAAACTAGTTCTCGAGAAATTCGTTTTCAATCTTGATGTAAAGTACATAGCTCCAGTGGCTTCCTAATATCGGAAAGATGACTGCTGATCACATTGCGGTTGCGTGTTTGCTGAATATTTATTTGTATCGCATCATAATACGTGGTCCTATATATATTTTTTTAAAATGTATGTTACATGTTCAGTCAAGAAAAGTGTTCTTAGAGTTCTAATATGTTTGGGGGGGGGAGGAGTTTGTTGGGAAGTGAAAAAATGCCATGATGAATGAGGGTTCGTCCATTACCTGAGAAATCGTCTATTAAGGAGTTTTTATTCATTTTCCGATTGGGGCGGTGTTATTGACAAACAGGGTTTCAATCCCAGCCCTGCGCCTGCTGTATATTTGGAGTTTGCGTGTCCCTCTCTCTCCCCGTGGACGTGTGGATTTTTCTCCGGGTCCTCCAGCTTTTTCCCGCCACATTAAGAAACAACGTGCGTTTTAGAGTATTTAGCTGCTACAGACTTCCACGTGATAAAAGCCACTTCGTTGAGCTATCGTTTGCGGCCAGGTCGCTTCTGAAAATGAGCTAAACAGCTCAGTGGGGACTACCTGGTAAAATAAAACATAGTTTAGTTTAAATAATTTATAGAGTTTGTTGTTGTTGTGTGCGCCACTGCCAACGCAGCAGCAGCATCGCCAAATAATGTTTGATTCTAAAGACAACCGAGAAAGATTTAATAATAAGCACCAACGCCGGGTGAACGCACACGCAAAACAAACACGACCCCACCGGCTCACGTTGCAGCGACAATACCTGCTCCGGGGCGCGACTACGATCCGTGCGCAAGCGATCCTGTGCGGCCGTTCGATCTGGATTCCGGCTCCGGTCCGGACCTTGTTCGTTGCCGGAAGTCTCTGCTGGAAGTCTTCGCCTGTAAACAACAAAACACCTGGGCGTAAACCTCCGAGTGACCGGGAGCCCTGCGACAGCCACCGCCTCTCAAGCAATTTTAACCTGAGCACCTGGACTTGTTCTTCATTACGATGGTAACACAGTCATTAGGGGTGCAGCGATGAAATATGGGCTCATTGATGAATAGCGATTCTTCAGCTGAAGGCCTCCCAAGCCATCGCCAACTATGTGTGTTGAACTTCTTTCGTACCGTACGTAGCCAGCCGTGCTGATCGGAAATTACGTCCAACCAATGTACCGAAAATTACACGTGTAAAATGGATGTTTTTTTCATAATTATTATTATTAAGCTCGTTTATCCAGAAAAGCATCACTGAGTCTCAAGACTATTTTTCGGGAGGGTCCTGCCAAGCTTTTGCAGTCGTGAGCAATGTGTGCAGGAAAATTCAGTTTCAGACGGAGAGATTTTTTTTTTGCAGTAAGGGAGTGACGTGTAATCCCAATTGGGTAATTTGCCAGTGATTTTGTGGCATTGGGATGTTTGGTCAAATCCGGTGACATTGCACATTGTTGTTGTTGTTTTTTCATCTACGGGAATAAACCCATGCCTAAGAGGGCGCGTGAATATACAAACTCCACCGCAGTAATGTGCAGGAGGAGGGAATCAAACCCGATGAGAGGCACAAAGGCTACCAGCGTGGCACCCTGTCTGCCAGAATGTGGGTCGCAGCGTTCTTGTCTGTCACAGGTTCACATTGCGCCTTGCAGCTCGGAGAGACCGCTACACTCACCACAATGTTAAAACAAGAAATGAAATCTCCCCCATTAACACAACTGACGTGCTTGCGTCCGGGGGTGGAATTCCTTTCCAGCTCAGACCCCGCCTGCTTGCCCATCGCCACGTAAATAACCTCTTGTTGTAGCTGCTCTCTCGCTAGTTCAGCAGTTCCTACTGCTGGATTATATTTTTTCCGCCTGAAGACGACCGCTTGTGTTGCGATCGAAACGTCGTGATTTATTTTATTTTATACCTACGTGACTTTATCGAAAGAACCTGTCCCTCCCGCCAGAAATAGAACATACAAAAGTCAAAGTCTTCCTCCTCGGATGACTACTGAAGTGCCACTCATCTCATCAGTGCTGGTTCTGAGTTAGTGGTGTAAATTCCACATTTGTATCGCGGGAACAAGGGGGGGGGGGGCAGTTTATCCACAGGACGAGGGATAAAATGCGTAAGAGAAATATAACGAGCGACAAATAACTAACATAGAATGGTATTTATCAAAACGGACGATACGGCTATCGTGGACCTAACTTTGTCCGATGTAACGTAGTGTCGCCGTACCGCGGCAACGCCGCGTTCAAAACCCTCTTTGACAACCTGTCACAATCGGAAGGCACGCACGGTGACGGCACGCGCATTCCACGCAAATTCAACCTTGCGTTCCCCCCCCCCAAAACTAAAACATTTGCCGACCGTACAAAACACACCAAGTCGCAGCGCTCGTCAACCCGTCCATGGTGCTTGCCCAGAGAGGGATCGGTGCTGTGCACACACACGAGCGCCGTGCCCCGACACGCTCGCTGGCACGGCCTGCGCAAGCCCGGGCTTGCCAGCCCTCTCCGCTCGTCCAAACCCTCGAGCCTCCGGAGGACTCGCTCGTGCCAAGGGCTCCCTGAGCTGTAGTATTTACCCCCCTCCCCTGCCCCCCTCCGGCTCACGGAGGTGAAGAGGTGAGTGACGACAGCATTCGCCCGAGAGCGAGCCTCATCGCTAGGAACCCAGCGAACCGCGGGAAGCCGCTGACCGACGACGATCTGGAAGTTTGACACGGCCGAGCGGTAGCGAGATTTGCCGCTCGTTCGTTGTAGGGGTTTGTGGTTCGAGCTCGGCGGCCGCCGTGGTTAATACTGCGCGTGTATAAACCGAAAAAGGCCACGAGCCGTCTGCTTCAAGTGGCTGTTATTAAAGGGCAGGCCACGTGCGTGAGTGTCACAGTCCAAAATTTCCAAATTTGAGAAAGCACGCGCGTGACAAAAAATTTCTAAAAGCCATACCGGCAACATCGCCTGGAAAAATACAGCGCCTTCGTGATATAGCCTCGCGGCAACGAGAACGGCACGGTCACCAAATGTATTCACTGTTATTATCATCATCAGTATTCGAGCTGTGCCGACCGGACAGAAGCGGCAGTTCGGCCGGCGACGCGAGAAATCACTCCGGTGACAGGTCGCGGCGGGGTCAAGTTGACGGCCAAACGCAGCGGGGAGAACAGAGAGCTCTCCACAGCGAGGGCCCTCGTGTTTCCCCGAGTGGCACTAGCACAGCTGCTGCTCGTCTCTCTGCTGCGCACTAAGCATGAACAAGTGAAAAACGTGTATATAAATAAATAAAAATCGAGTGCTCTTTAGTCGGCCAGGTAAGCGTTGTATGTGTGATGTTGTAGATACGATTGGCAAAAAACGGCGGCGCTTGCGGATTGGGACAAGTGTGCAAAATGCAGGAGGGCACATACAGAAGGTCACTGAATTGCGCACTTTCAGATGCGCTTCTGTGACCGTCTGGAATGCTCTTCCTTCCGATATTCGGAAACCACTGGAGCTATGCACTTTTAAATCATCAAGATGGAAAACGCATTTATTTAGAACTGCTTTTTGTTTCGTGTCTTACCCTTCCCCCCGCACCTCCGATTAGCACGGTTTGCTACGCACGGTCTGAAAGAAGTTCAACATACATACATACACGTTGCCGAGACCAGAATTAGAGTGGTCTCCACAAGTCCGGTGAGACACTGTTGGGGCAGAGTTTGGAGGATCTGGCGGAAGGTACGGAGCTCTGGCAAAGTGCGGCGACATCAACGGTGACACAGCCGGTAGCGCGTTCACCGCTTGTTTGCGGAGGCTCACGGTTCAATTCCGGTGGCCGCCCTGGTTAATACTGCGGTGTGTTATACCGATGATACCACTACTACTACGTGCCAGTTGTGTGCCGGCGTTAGGGTCTAAATAATACAAATCAAAAAAATTACACCCCCTACAAGCAGACGAATGCCCCAGGTCACTCTTGATAGTGAGACTATCCTGGTCTCTTGAACGTTCACCTGGTTAAATAAGATGAACGTGAAACTTTTAACTTGCTCACTCACCCACTCATTCACTCACTCACCCACGATGACATCTTGATCTTGCCATACCTATCCACCCCTTATTGGTGCCCTACCTTATTACAGACCAATTTAGACCGTATTGGTCCCATCACAAGGGAGAAACACAAACAAATAGACAATCCACCCCTCCCCCTCCGTATTGAAACGTCTGGACGCTGTATGAACCTGAAACTGAATTTTCCTGCACAAGAATACGGGGTAAACCGTATGGGTTGACAGCACACTAGGGCAGTGATGGGCAGTTTGTCTTTCAAATATGATCATGGACATGCAGATTCATAAATCTGTGTAACTTCCCTTTCCAAGCCATGCTTAGCGCTCAGCAGCATTGCTGGTCCTGGAAGAGTGAAGGAAATTCCACGTTTCTATGGCAGGAGGCCAATCTAGGCGTAGCACAATAATCACGAAAAAGACCACTCAATAGCTCACTCGAGATATTGTTACATTCTTCTGTTCAATATAAAAGTCTAGATTCTCCTCCGAATTGAATTCCTTTAATATACAGGAATACCTCGATATGCGTATATTCAATAAACGAAGTTTCGGTATGACTGTGTGTGCATGTTGAACTTCTTTCGCACCGTACGTAGCCAACCGTGCTAATAGTTGGTGCGAAATAACAGACTTTGGATTATATTTGTATCATTATTCTAACACTGAAAGCAAAAAAGTAAGTAAAAGAATAAATAATGACATTCATATTGATAAAGAATATAAATAAGAATAACATTTACTTTCTTCACTGTGTTTCTTTTATTCACGTCAGTTTTAAATACCGTGCAGTATAAAATACAGCAATTTCAACATCAATTGTCTTTGTTGACAATATGAATTGTAAAGTCATTAAGTGCTTAGAGTACTATTACATGGTAAGCCAGGGAAGGGATCCTCATAGTGCCAACGCGAAAAGTGATTCAATGGACGAAGCCTCAATGTAGAAAACGCAGCTCCAGTAACGCATCCACTTCGTTGACCGAGGAATTATTGTCCTCAACTAAGGGGACATCCATGGAGGGGGGATTAAGGGGCCGTCCATAAATGACGTCACGCGATTTTGGACGATTTTAACCCCCCCCCCATCCCTTCATCACACGGCGTCACAAAAAGTCAGACCCCCCCTCAAATATGACGTCACAAAGCTCTGCCCCCCCCCCCAAATAAAACATTCTTCAAATCGCTTTAAACTATTGTCATTGTAGTGCGTATTTAATGTGGCGCTGCACTCTGATGTTGTAGGAGAAAACATTTATTAAACAATATATTTCATTAAGTAGAACGTGTTGTCTATATTTATTTAAAGTTGCGTATATTGATGTGACGTCACAATTCTTATACCCCCCCTCCCTCGTCACACATCGTCACAAATGTCTGACCCCCCCCCCCCCCAAGTGCGTGACGTCATTTATGGACGGCCCCTAACCCAAATGCGTAGCTTGCTATGGGGATCTACTGACAATGTGCGCATGGGAAACGGGGGGCGGGGGGGATGGAGCCTCGACAATAATGTGTCGACATGGGCCTTCGAATGAGTCAGATCGTCCGGCGGTGGACTTTGCTTAAACACGTTAGTATTATTATTAATCATTGATCGTTTCTGCGTGTATTAAATATCGGCCGTTCTATAGGATTCGAGGGGGAGTCATATTGACGTACGCAGGTGGGGGGGGGGTGTAAAAAGTTCGCGTGCGTACAGGGAGGGAGGGGGGGGTCAAGCAGCTGTTTGCGTGCCTACTCAATGGATGGCCCCTAATGGGAGTTGGTTTTTTTCTTCCCTTTTTACAATTTCCCGCGTTATTTCTACAGAGGGGGAGGGGAGGGGGTGGCAGAAATAACACGGGGGGAGGGGCGGGTC